CAAGATAAAGAAAAGTTGCAGGTACCTTGATTTCAAACTATTTCTTTGATAATATTTTTCAAGCTCATTGCTTTAGTAATTTGCTCAAGGTATCCAATGAAACCTTGCTTCAAAGCGGTACCTGTAATTTTTTGTATCATGCAGGTTGGCTGGTAACCTAATCATCGCAAGCGGAAGCTATAACATACAGACTGTAACAAAAGTTTGGAACGCATCCAATATCTGAAAAATTGGTAGGTTTAGGTTCGAAACGACGGCGGATCCGTTGATCATATCCGCGATGTTGCCAAATCTATATTTTTGCAGAATCTGGTAGCAACCTTTGTTTTTTATGGAATGCTACATATTTTATTCGATATTTGTATTCTGCGAGAAATTATGGATACCTTTTATTGAACATACTTTAACGTAGACATCATAATTTTCGAAACAACAATAAAAGGAATATTTTTTTTTAACTTAACAATGGTCCATTAAGTTTTGTTAGTAGAGTTGATAAAAATATGATTTATTTAACTAAAACCAACGTCTTCGTTAAAGTATGTTTGATAAAAAGTTTTAAAAATTCCTCACAGAACACAAATATGGAATAAAATTCTATGAGAAAAACAAAAGTTGCTAACAGTTTCTAAAAAACTGTAGATTTGGCAACATCGCGAATATCATTAACGGATCCACCGTAGTTTCCAACCTAAACCGTTCCCAACTTTTGTGTCACTCTGTATAAATTATCACCTTCGACTCTTTTAGATTGAGGCTATACAAAAAATTAGACTTCGAACTGACTATTCTGTTCCGATATAAATTAAACCATGTAATCTACCAAGGCAGTAAAAGATAATCAGATACAGATTTTACGAATAACTTGTGTTTTCACAAAATTATTCGTAAGGCCTTTGAGTTGTCCCCCTAGCGGATTACTTTTGAGGTCCTATGCGGGAGGTTACACGATTTAGTTTGGTATCAAAGAAGAATTGTCAGATCGAAATTCAATTTTTTCAACCCCAAGTACTCCGACTTAGCAAAATCTCAACATACTAGATCAAGAAAAATATTTTAAGCGATGGCACTTTTTTATACTGTTTCGAGACAATTTCTTAAGACTTAAAGACTGTTCCATTTCAATGATACAGTGCGAACAAAACTTTTGGAATGTGTCATGCGAAGCTCCTTAATTTCTACTAAGTTCTAAATGACTACTTCTAGGTAAAATGCAGCACTCCATATGTTTCTTATAATTCCACAAACTCTCTCGAATGCACCAAGGTCGTTTCTCATTGAGTTACTTTTCAGCAACTATCAGATTTTCAGACCAATACCTCTGAATGGCCACTTAGGGAAAAGCAAGAGAACCTTAAAGTTTAAGGGACGTATCGTTATTCGTTCCTACAATAATTGAATCAATTGAGAGAATATTTTTGTATGGATTCGCTCAATAACATTTTTCATACGTCTAGCAACCTCTATAAGAGTTCCCACAACTTTATTATACGCAAAACCTGGAAAAAGTACAAAAAAACTCTCGAAAAAAGACTGAGATCAAGAGCAGTACAAGTCCATGAACGTCATCCTTCTACAATTTCGAGAGGTGTGTTTTTCTATTTTTTATTTTAAATTATCATTCATACAAAGAATCACTACAATATTTGTATGATAGTAACTCTACACATTGTGCAGTTATGATGTTTTTTCGTGTTTCCTCAGAACTGTCTTGTTGGACGTGTACTGGACTAACCGACTCAATTGTAGGACGCCTTGATTTTGATAGTCTTTTCCCTCCTTCAGACAGGCTGGTATTTCTATATTTCTACTGTTCCGTGTCAGCATCAGCGCCCTCCTATTGCGAGGCTATGTTTCCTTCTTGAATTGTAGGAAATTTCAGGCTGACATAACATATATTATACAGGGTGTCCGCAAAGTTGGGGTTTTCCTTTACACGACGTGTAGATCTTGAAAACATAAGCAATTTTTCTTAGTACCATATACACCAATGTTTTAAGGGAGCCGAGATAAAGGGCTCTGCAACATCAAAAATATCTGAATACCGTCCTGTAGCCGCGACCCGCGACATCCCCGAGTGGTACTAGGACACTAGCTCAACCCGACGACAGAACTGGGTCGGGGTCAGTGTGTCAGGTCAGTATGCAACCTTCAACCGACGGTTACGGTCACGCGTGTAGAGGTAAACGAACCCGTATAATCGATTGCGTTTCAAAAAAAAATAATAATGGCACACTCATAACCAATAATGAACTCGTTGATATGTTGTTAATTTATGGCGAATGTCTTCAAAATGGTACAGAGGCTTCGCGAGTGTATGCAGATCGTTTCCCTAGACGACATCATCCAAGGCCCCGCAGATTTGTGTACCTGGTCCAGAGAGTCAGGGATACGGGCCATTTGGAGGAATTTCGAGGTGGGCACAGTGGGAGGCCCAGACAACCACGAATGGTGCAAGGTGAGGAAGAACTACTGGATCGCGTAGACGAGAATCCCTCAACAAGCACTAGAGACGTGGCTAGAGAAGTGCAAGTATCAAAAACTAAAGTGTGGCAAACGCTGCGTGAAGAGGGGCTGTATCCGTTTCACGTCCAACGTGTACAAGCCCTTCAACCTGACGATTTTCCAGCAAGAGTGCGGTTTTGTGAGTTCTACGTTCACGCATAATGGGGTGAATAACTTTCGCAACACTCATGTTTGGTCAGTAGAAAATCCGCATGCTGTCCGTCGGGCACATTTTCAACAAACATTTTCGGTGAATGTTTGGGCTGGCATGGTGAACGGTATGCTCATTGGACCAATTATTCTCCCAAATCGATTGGACGGGATGCAATACCTAGACTTTTTACGCAACATTTTGCCTTCCTTGTTAGAAGATGTGCCATTAAGTGTAAGACAATCAATGTGGTTTCTGCACGATGGTGCACCGCCCCACTTTAGACGCGGAGTGCGTGAGTTTTTGGATGAATTATTTCCGAATAGGTGGATCGGACGTAATGGACCCGTAGCGTGGCCTCCGCGATCTCCGGACTTAACACCATGTGATTTTTTTCTTTGGGGAGAAATGAAACGCTTAGTGTACAAAACTGAAGTGCATACGGTTGACGAACTTCGTCTCAGAATTGAACAAGCTGGTGCTTTCATTCGGGGGAGGGACTCCATTCTCAAAGCCTGCACCGATGCTTGGCTACGTCGTGCACGCACCTGTGTTTTTGAATCAAACGGCGATAACTTCGAACAATACCTATAAAGTACGTTTACCTAAAAACTGAAAACGCGGCAACGCCGTCTTATTTGTTACCTCTGTTCGTGGTCTGCACCACCGCCGGCGTCTGCTCGGTAGCGCATCAGCTGATTTCATTTTCTGTTGGTGCGGTATGATTTCGGGCAGAGACGTACTTAGCCCTTCTCGTCAACTGGAGAGTGAGTACTTTTTCCCCAACTTTGCGGACACCCTGTATAAATTAAAAGCACGAACAATCTAATGAAAATAGCTATTTGTAACATAACCTCAGAATAGAGCGCTGATATGGGACAGTAGAAAACTATAAAAATCAAGCAGGCTATAAAGGCGTCCTACAGTTGTAGGAACGACTGACGATACACCCTGAGTCCTAAGAGCCAGCAGGCCACAAGTCAGGACCTACTAATGTTTTCGGATGTAACTCAATAAGAAATTATCCTGGCGTATCTGATAAAGTTTGGTAGTCTGTGACGAGAAAATTGTAGCCTTGCATTCTAGCACGAAGTATGATTTTAAATTCCTCAAGGTTAAAGTAGTTATTAGATATCGATGAAAAAAAAGGGTTTCATTAATATTTTGCTAGCTCTGTATATCAGAAGTGGAGTAGTTTAGCAAAAACGACAAAATAGTCTTAAAACTAGCCAAACATATCACCTTTTCCATTCCTGCCTTACATTACCAAAAATAAGATGACAACCTCTCGAGTCAAAAACAGCAACGCTACAAGTTTTTTTTATAAATGATCATGCGGGAATCCCCTAAGGAGATATAGGCAACACGTGTTCAGAGCTAACTTTCCTATGGCAAGGTAGAGTTAAAAATAGAGTCGTCTTTCCATCCCACTACTGGATATGACGGCATTCTCAGAAAAACAATTTGACAGCAATATTGCAATTTTTTTTTCACAACATAGTACTTAATGGTAACGATGATATCCTTAGAAAGCCATATCTTTAAACAAACAAAAAAGTCTTACAACGTTAGTTATGTTATTTTTAAAACAGATCACTGATCTCTCAGCACAGTTTTTGTCAGTACACTTGTTCGACAATTTAGAAAAAGGAGTACTGATACTTTTTGAAGAGCGAGGGTTGCAAACTTTCCCAGGAGGGACAAATCCTAGAAATCAAATCAACAACAAATCTGTAACTACCGAATAGAAGAGATATTCCATATCAGACACCTTAATCAATGTTTGCATTTGCCTCGAACTTTTTAGGCGTATAAACTGATAGTCACAATACTGAAACACCACTGTTTTTCTCAAATATCGAAATGAAATATGTTAATTCTATCTAAAAAATTATGGTCTTCGGAAGAATATTTTCTTGTCATTATTACGAGGTTAAAAAATATTGCGTTATGGCCAGTCCGTCCCTGACAATTTATGGACATGTGAGGCCCTGATGGCATGATACTGTATTGTCAAAAGTTTATTGAATACTGTGTTGGTGAACAGTTATTAAAGGAATGCCGATATTCTTATAGTGCCTTTATCTCCATATAGAGCTCATTAGTATAATTTTTGTAGCGCTATTCTTTGAGTTCTATGTCTGTACGAGAGGCTGTAATCTTATTGTACCCTCTATACACACAGCTGTACCATGTAAAAGCACAAAGTTAATCTTGCTACATAGAGTTCGGATAAAAAGACTACTTATGCCTTTGCCGGTTTGCAATGGATTGCTACAAGGTGCCACTATGGAATCTCTAATAAACATCCGTCTCAATATCAAATATCTCGTCCTCTATTCAGGTGTACAGTGCTGGCAAAGGGTCCACCGCCGTCCATGAGGTCGAGAAGAGAGCCAGCAAACTGCCCACCAAGCCCCTTTCCCAATCCGAACTTCTGGACGAGCTCCTGAAGGAATTCCAGGGTGCTGTTACCGATAAGGAGTACGAGAAGCTGTTGAGCAAAGTGTACAAGTTCGTCAAAACCGGAGACTTGGACCCCGTCGTCTATGAAATGCTCTTCGAAATGAGTAAGTTGGAATTTCGTTTCTTCCAATCGTTAACATTTCTTGAGGAAGGTGCTACATTTTTCAGATTTTCCTTCCAAGAAAACTTACGACCCACCCCTACTGACGGAAAATTGATGAGATATTATGTTTTTTTGGACGTTTTATGATATGTAACGGGTGATTTTTTAAGAGGTATAGGATTTGTTTTTACAAAAAACACAAAAAATTTGAAAAAACGATTAAATCTTTATTTGAGTCGATAGAACGGTCGATATAATTTAATGTTTAAAAATTATTTCATGTAAATGTTGGCCGCGGCTCCGCTTTAGATGGCCCATGCGCAAGGTCCAATTTTGGCACACTCTCTCCAACATATCGGCCGGTATCTCACGAATAAATGCTTCAATATTCGCTTCCAGTACGTCAATCGTTGCTGGTTTATCCCTGTAGACATTAGCCTTAACATGGCCCCACAAGAAATAGTCTAACGGCGTTAAATCACACGATCTAGGCGGCCCGATAATCCACACCAAACAGTGATTTTTTCGGGATGCATTGGTAGCTCTTGCAATGCTTCTGGCTGGTCTTCACTCCAGATGCGGCAATTTTGCTTGTTAACGTACCTATTCAACCAGAAATGAGCTTCGTCGCTGAACACAATTTTTCGATAAAAATGTGTATCTTCCTCCAACTTTGCCAGCGCCCATTCACCAAATTGGAAACGTTGTGGGAGGTTGTGTGGCTTCAATTCTTGCACCAGCTGTATCTTATAAGGTTTTATAACCAAATCCTGTCGCAAAATTTTCCACGTAACAGAGGCCCAATTGCTGCGAACGGCGGCGAATCGACATTTCACGGTCATCACTAACACTGGCGGATACAGCTGCAATATTTTCTTCAGTCCTCACTCTACGTCTGCGTGTTGGTGGTTTAATGTCCAATAATGTAAACTAGGTTCGAAATTTAGTCACAAGCTTCCGAATAGCTCCCTCAGTAGGCCGACCAAATTGCCCATAAATTGGAAGCAGTGCTCGATGCACTCTCTTAACCGAGCATGAATTTTGATAGTAAAATTCAATAATTTGCAAGCGTTGTTCGTTCGTAAGTCGATTCATGGTTAAATTATAGACCAAACTGAACAAGTTTGACAATGACACAAGGCACGATTCACGCGTCATCTGCCAAAAACAGTGTTGCCAAAAAGATACTAGCAAAAAAATCACCCATTACAATGCCAAAAATCATATCACTCAGGACTGTCCGCTAATCTTATAACCGCCTATAATTTGAGGAGTACAGCTGGGATTTTGATGGAATTTTTACACAGCGTTACTACTGTGCCAATGACGCAAGCTGTATGTAGTTCTTGAATATCGGGCAAGTGGCGGCACAGATCATTTTTGAAAAAAAATTTAGAGAAAAAAACTTGGTGGTGGGGGTTGAAAAGGGGGGAGGGTGAGTACAGTTTCTATCAGTTTTTTATGTTAGTATATTTATACGCTCCCTACCTTCAAAATTCTATGCACCAATTAGACATATTTCGCATATTATAAATTTATCCGTACATTAAGCCCTTAAAAGTAAGAAAAATATTCTCAGCAAACGAATAGCGTACCTACCATCTGCTGCTACCGGCGGCACGCTGCCGGTCTTGGTCAGTTATGTTACTCTGGTATGGTGTGATACGCACGATACACATACACTGAATATAGGATGTTGCGTATGTAGGCGGAGCTTCGTGACGTCACCTTGAGAGTTGTCGGATCGTGATTACCAGCGGCAGGATTGTCGTAAAGTTACTGCAGTGTACTTGTATCGAGGTTAATACTATGTAGTGTGATTTTTAGGTGATTTTTGGTGGTTTTATGACTTGTTGGATCAGTTATACATACTTTATATACCTTGTGTGGTTGATAAATTGATAAAAATGCGGTGTGCTTGTGCTTGTGGGATGTAATTCCGACAACCAATCTGAACGGAATCCTTGCAAAGACACGAAGTTCCACAGTCTTCCTCAAGACCTAAACCTTAGCAAAAAATGGCTACATCTTACAAAAAGAAAAGACAAGGTCAATGTAAAAAGCGGTAGAGTTTGCTCGAAGCACTTTTGTGAAAGTTCCCATAAGGTCAATTTGAAACACACCCCTTTGGGTTACACCCGTAAAAGATATCGTGCTCTAAAAGATTATGCCATTCCTACGGAAAATTCAGATTCAGCATCCAACACCTGTTAACAAGACGTCTTAATCAAGATGCAATAGAAATTCTTTCGGAGTAATTAGTGCAAGAGGTGGTCTTAATGACCATCCAAGTCCCCTAGAGTTTAAGTATAGAATAAGGTCTTACATTTTGAGGCGAAACGAAGGCGCATACTCAGAGTATATACTCCAGACATATTTCCGTCAGTCTGTCTGTCTGCGGTCTGTCCAGAAAGTAGCGCTCGGGTTTTAATGAAATTCTTACACAATATTGCTTCTAAAATCTAAAATCCAAGAACTTCGATTATCATTATCTCATTGGTGATTTTAGTGCATAGTCTAACATTTTGATTGGGGTATCACCAGTTATTAAATCAGACATTTCTCTTATTAAACATTTCGCTAATGACAATGAGAATGTTTATGTATGTGGAATTTTTATTTATGAATATTTTTGGGAACTAAGAAGTCAATCTATCTGACTCCATTTTTAGATTGCGCATTTTTAATACGCATTTATATAGGTCTTAGCTAACACTAAACATATTTTTTTTCAGGTGTAACCCCTGTCAGCCCAGTCGACAAGAAACAACCAAACACATCAGAAGTCTCTCCCTCTTCTCCAATCTACCCAATTTACAGGTATATACATATTTACGTTTACCTAACAATATTATTGTTATTATAGGCTAATGGGCGAGAGTTGAAACCCGACTTTGTAAATGTCATGTTGGCATATATCCTCGGTTAACAAGATCATGAAGTATGTAAAGTTGATGTGCAATAACATCAAAATACCTTGTTTAAAAATTTTGCTAGCCTTATCTACCAAACTCTAGAAAGTATATGTACACTTTCCCAAAATCTTATTTTGTCAGTACCCCTGTCAGATTATCTGTACTTCCTAAGCATTGGGTAAACATTCGAAGGAGAATTCCTGGGCTATTCTGTCACTAGTTTGTGTCTCATTTTATCGATTTTAATTACATTTTTTCAGCAACAGAATCAGGCTTTTCAAAAATATCGTAAAATATACTCAGTGCTTAAAATTGGAGTTAAATATCTTCTTTGATGCACTGATTATTCTGCTGGCAAAATTTTGCAGTAGCTAGAAGTTATTTAAGAAGGACTGATTTTAATCAAAGACAACGTAGTTCTAAAACCACCCCTTGAACTTTATTAGTCCAATGACTTGAAAATACACTGGATAGACGTAAACTTTTTAGGGACCGTAAATTCCTTGCATTGACAAAGAAATCGTGGAAAGCGGACATGTGGTTCTAACAAAGATAATGCGTGTACCTACTTGCAGCATCGTTTTTGAACAAATTCCCGTTTTTTATATCGATTTTTGATTAAGATTATTTGACTTTCCAGGGATTGGATCAACTACAAGATGAGCCTAGTCAACGACAAAATCGCCTCCAAGAACCCCTACGAAACCCCCATGTTTGGGTACAAGCAGCCTGGATATGACCAGGCCTACAACAGACCTGTATATGGATACGACAGACCTGTCTACGGGTACGAAAGGCCCACTTACGGATACTCTGGTGTCCAGTCAGCATATTCAGGTGTTCATCCAGCTTCCGGATACTCTGGTGCGCACCCAACTTATGGATATTCAGGGGTACAGCCTGCACCTACCTATGGATACCCAGGAATGTATCCTGTCGGAAGGGTTCCATACCAGGCACCATACCACTACGGACCTTACTCACAGGACTACCAGAGGACGGGATATGAGGGTAAGAGAAAACCATATAAAACGGAGGGTGTAAACGTTATGATAGTCATTATTTAAATGGGTGATAGAGGGAGTTAAAAGAAGCAAAAAGTTACATATAACATGGGGGTCAAAACCGCATTTTTTTAGAGAAAAGCGACTTTAAAGTAAAATAAAATCTGACAACGCCGCAATGCCAGACGCAAATTACGACGGAACGCAGTGTAAATAAAGATGGAGTTTGTTATTTTTGGCTCTTAGATATTATTTCATTATTTGATAATGTACTCGTAAAATGCAAACAATAAAAAAACGGACTAACTGTCTCAGCGCTTCACCTGGTGTGTGAAAGTTCATTGAACGTATTAAAAAAATCCACTTATAAATAGGGAACACAATTTTGATGCATACATTGTTTTTCTTTTCAAGACCCACACTGCTCTTTTTTGTATTTAAAGAAGGTGCTCAAAATGTCGTCCTCCACTTTCCACACAAGCTTCGTTTACGACGAGCTCAGTTTCTTCTTACTCTAGGTCATCGAAGTTGTCCATTTATTATTTCAGCCGCATTAAACATTTTTTTCGCGAAGTTGTGCTTCAGTTGTTATTGGACCAGCCCCATAAGCCATCCCTTTAAGTTCTCCCCAATATCAGAAATCCATCGGATTGAGGTCAGGAGATCGTCGAGGATCAGGAGCGTTTCGACCGATCCAGCGATTGGATAATGTTCATTCAAATATACTGAATGACGCCTCTAAAAATGTGTGGTGGTGCCCCGTCATGAAGAAACCACAAATTCTGTCTCCGTTGTAATGCCATGTTGTCTAAGGTCTGTTCCAAAAGTTCTGGTAGGTTATTGGCTAGAAAGCTAAGGTATCCTTCTCCTGACAACTTTGGGGGTAACTCGAATTACCTGATCGTCAAGAATACCCGCCCAAATATTTATTTTAAAACGTTGTTGTAAATGACCTTCACGAATGGTATGACGATTTTCTTGGGCACACGTGTGAGTATTATGGAAATTTAATATCCCGTCTCGCGTAAAAGTACATTCGTCCGTCGCTAGAATGTTTTTAAAAAAATCCGGATTTTCAATATTTTCGTGCAAAAACCACTGACAGAATGTTAGTCTGCGAGGATAATATTCTGGTAACAAGGCCTGAACTCGATGTACATGGTAGGGATAAAGCAAATTTTTTCCGTAGGATTCTATGGACTATGGTATGCGATAGTCCTACGCGGCGGCCTAATTCCCGAGTGCTGATATCTGCATTGATTTACACGATATTTAAAATTTGTCCCTCCTGCTCTACAGTAACCTGTCTTTCACGAGTGCGAATATTAGTGGGCTGAACACTTCCTGTATCTCGAAGTCTTTGGTACACTTGCACAAATGTCCTTCAGCCTGGGTGTACCCGTTGGCGAAATCTGTCGCGATAAATTTGAGCTGCAAGATTTGAATTCTGACGAGCTTCACCGTAAATTAGCAACATGTCTTCGAACTCTTTATTCGAGAACATTGTAAATCAACGCGACGACGTACGCGAACAAAAACAAAACAACATACTATCCACTGTTACCGTTTGCGATCGATTGCCGGTTCGATAAGAGTGATTATGACCGAAGCGCTGTTGTCATGTGCGTTTTAAATATTCAATTTGATGAAACTTACTTACTGACTACAAATGTTGGCTTAACTGAGAAAAACTTAATGCCATTTATTTGTTAACTACCCAATTTAAAAACGTTTAGATTAGATTATAAAAATTAGTAAGATTGTGGTGATAAAGCACTTAAAGTTGTAAACTATAAAGCCATTTAGACAAAAATATTGACTTTTGGGCCATGAGTCATATGAACTTTTTGACTTGTTTTGACCCCCTTATTACCCTTTTCAATTATGACTACCATAACGTTTACACCCTGCATAAATGTGTAATTCTTTATTCTATATTGTTGCATAATATTTTACACGGTGTTTATATAAAATAACAACATGTTATAGTATTTTGACGGCAACTCGACTTCAACTTGAGTTGCGTTGCTTGGTGGTTGCTTTGGCGTTCCAACTGAATCAACTGCTAGGAAACTATCAGTCTCGTTTTGAGATTGTGGATAATTTATTATAATTAATTGGATTTGGGCCTAAAGGAACACAGTTTTCTGTTATAAAGTTGCCAATGTTCCGGAAAAATTTGTTCCCTTCTTCAGGAGTGTGGTGGTCAAAAATAATTTATAGTTATGCACATCTTACGAGATGATAAAATTAAGTGTTGAGGCTGGCAATGCAGCGTTCGATTTTTTGCATAATCGAATTTACCTTTTAACGAATTTGCTTGTTGCTACGACTAATTTTGCCTCAAAAATATTTTAAATAAATCTTGGAACAAATTCCCGAAAATTATTTTTTTTCGCTCTGATCAAAGTGTTTGTGGGGCATTCTGAACAAAAAAGGTGCTCTAGAAGGTTTCCCTAAGCTTGACAGTTTACCAGATATGAACGATACAAATATTTAAGAAAGTGCGTAATGTTCCATTTTTGAAAAAAAATTGTTACCAATGGTTGTAAATATGTTTCAAAGATCCATTTACACTCAAGCAGAACATACCCTGATTAGCAAGTCCAAAACAAACACTTACAATGAAAATACGTCCTGAAACGCTTTGGGATTTTGCTAATGGATATTTGAAGAATGTTTAGGAACACTAGCAACATTAAAATCTTCATTTTTTCATAACAGTTTTCGGTATCGAAAATGACAACAACTGTCAAAGAAAAGCAGTTTCTTGTTCAGAATGTCACGAAAAACCCAAAAGCACTTTGATCAGAGCAAAAACATTTTTTTTTGAATTTTTTAATTAAATTGTTTGACCCTGGCAACATGTAGATTCGTTAAAAGGGGGCCAGAATATGTTTTCTATGATGAGGCAAAGATATATTGCCCGGACTATCGTGGAAAGTTTTCAACTCAATCGCAACGAACACATAAACGCGATGGAGTAATATGTTTACCTGATTTTTAAGTTTCTATAACGCCAATTGGTGTTTGATAAAAATCAAAATCTACAGTTGTCATCTAGATAGAAGGTGATAAGTGATACCAAAACCTGATTACTTAACACATTTTAAACGCGTTGGCTATTTTCCAAGAATATACAGAATGTCCGCAAAGTTGGGCTTTGCCTTCTCAGACATAACTACGCTTGATATAACAAAGCTAATGTGTAGTGAAACGTGATCGAACAAGTAAAAAAAATAAATGAAAACGTACTCACTGTTCAGTTGAATTGAAATTTCAAGTACAGCTCTGTAGTAAAATCTGTATCTACATCGTAGTCGTACGTCGTATAACTGTACGCTGGCGTTGGCGCTGTGGTCGTGATCGGGGGATAGGACAGGACCGGCTTCGGTTTGGTTCAGGTTTGATTGATATCTCGTTTTTTTTAAGACATTGGAAACCCCAACTTTGAGGACACCCTGTATATAATTATATTTCATGTTATTTCTCTACAACGTGCATAGTTGAGGAATCTGCTTAAATGGCAGAAACATTTTTCCTCTCGCCTGTCGCAAATACGTTTTACTCCAGTTGTAAGACGTTTTTAGCAGAATTTTGACTTCACTGTCATCTGAATAAAAGAATACCTGTTGAAACGGTGAAGTGTAAATTTGCATTAAGTAAAGGTACATCTACGCTTGCTAGCAGCAATACACTTTACCGTTTCGTGTAATTTTTGCTGAAATGACAGCAAAATTATGTCGAAAACAATAGATCTGAACTGCAACTTAACGCTGAAAAACGAAATACCTAGTTTTTTAAACAAGTCATTGGGCCACTGAGCATTTCTCTAATACTTATAATCCTTTCAGGTGTTGCCCCCCACCCAACATACTACAACCGTCCTGCCACTACAACCTATTAGTTTTAAATACTCGTATTTTGTATATGTGATGTGAACTTTTCCAATAAAGTTTTTTAAAAACAAACATTTGAATTTTGTTTTATAAAGGCACCTATATAGAATTGAAGTTTTTTCCTTTGTTACATATACCGTATAATACTATAGTCTGTTCAAACCTCATTTACCTTACGCACTTGAACATCGCTTCTATTCGCTTGTCGCTCGGGCATTTATGAATCGTTTTCCACCGGTAGCGCTCGAATTCAAGCGTCGCGCGTCAATGTTTGTTTTGAGGCAAAGTAAATGAGATTTGAGTACACAGTAGCATCTTACATGGCATTCTTGAAATAAGGTAGTAAAATAGCTGATAGAAATTGAGCATGGCCCTATTAGTGATATAGTGATTCTCGGGAGTAAAATTGCGAAAATCTCGCCGTCGTCCAGCAGTTTCGTCTTGAAAAAATGGCGTCAAGTAGGTTGACTCCGTACTTTTCATACAATGCCGCCATCAGTGTATAAAGGATTATCTTTAGCACAAGCTGGACCCTCTAAGAAAAGTCAGCCAAAGAGGCCCGTACACTTAGTCCACAGACATTCTTTCGCTGCCTCACCGCAGTAGTGCATCTGGCAACATCGCCTCTCCCCGATACCGAACCCGGTCCGGGTGTTGTATTTTGTGACTAATACCAGAACACTTACCAAACGACACGCCAGACGCGGACGATAGGTTCGCGATACGTCTGCTGAAAATTAAAATACTGTTTGTTTCAAGGGCAAATGTCCGCACGGGTATATGTAAAAAACCTATAAAACGTCAGAAAAAACTGTAAGGTGTCATCTTGCAAACTAGGTAGTTTTTAGGACGCAAACAGTCATTCCACGTTTGCTCACTAGGATCGTTGTGAACGTCCATCTATGGAGAAATCACTCAACTAAACTGCACGCATTATTGGTTGCATATGTTTTGTGAGACCGAGTGGTCCTTGTCCTTGTCTGTAGTTATCTCTGAGAAGAAAGTTGGTTGAGTAGCAAGATCGCATCTGGATGATTATGTGTATATTGGTCTGCATGTGTATAAAATCAGTGATATTTGCTGTGTGAGTAATTCATTACTGAATATGCTGCCAATGAAGTAGGTATATCTATTGGCTGTGCCCGATGGGTTATTTTTATGTTGCGCTTTCTGAAGAGAGGTTATGTTCAAAGTTACAAATTACGAAAAACTGAGGAGAATTACGGGAAATCATCACCACGCCCGCGTTGTGAGTAATTACAGTGTTAGCATGTATGTGACTTGTAATTCGACAGTGTACAGTGAATATAATTATTTCTTATCTCTCTCATTTTTGAAATTCAGCAAATTTGTGTATGTAATTTCCAGAATGGATAAGAAAAAAGTAGTTTCTAGCTTTGAATCTCAATTAAGTGTATTTGAAACAAGAACCCAATGTAATTATGATCAACACATACAACTTACAGAGCCAAAGATTGATAACAAGCCTCATGACGTTTAGGCAACACGTACAACTAAGTGCTAAGTTAAGATCTTGTAGAAAAACCTACATAATGCCAAAAAATCGGCATAATGTCACTTTTCAAGATACGTGATACCCGTGCCGGGAAAGCTATGATGTGTGAAATGTGTCTAATAGGCTTGTAGAATTACCAAGATTGGGAGCGTATGAATGTACATAAAAAATTGAGATATATCCTCCCCACCCCCAAATTTTTCCAGGATCCTCTGAAGCGTCAAAAACGAAGTTTGACCGATTCTTACTTGTTTGGTTTTTGGCCTTTTTCTGCGCCGCCACTGAACCGATTTTCAAAAAGCTTTTTCGTCCTTGGAATAGTAGTAACCTTGTCTGAAAATTTCATCCAAATCCGAACAGAACTTTCCAAGTTACACTGTCGAAGGCTTAGGCCCGTATCGTCAGTCGTCCCTACAATTGTAGGGCGCCATCATGGCCTCCTTGATTGTCATAGTTTTTTACTTCTCCGTGTCAGCGCTCTATTTTGAGGTTATGTCACAAACATCTATTTGCATCAAATTGTGCTTGCTTATGAGTTAGATCATGTTTTATCAGCCTGAAATTTCCTACAATTTAAAAAGAAAACATATCTTCACAATAGGAGAGCGCTGACGTTGACACGGGACAAGTGTAATCTAGAAATCTAACTGACGATACGGGCCTTAGTGGAGGGAACGACAGGCAGACCGACGGAAGTGAGTCTTATGATTTTTCGTGATGTGATGTCATATAACACTAACAAAAAATAATATCTCGTTTTCGAATTTTTTTTGTGATTACAATGCTTCCTCGCCAGTATGGCGAAATTAACTTTTTGATGAACCAAGAACCGAGGAACATAGTGTTTTGCTGAGAATGGATCCATTCACAAACTTCAACACGTGTCGGTGCATGCATGCATGTAGCAGCGGATTTACTCCGACACTTTTATAAGCTTGTCACAGTCTTTCCCATGAATTTTTTGCCTGCCGGCCAATAGAAACGTACGGATTTGATCGACGCACGCTGGTGTTTATTTTTTAGGGGAGTGAATGACATTTGAATACACGTTATTATGCAATAAATATGCTACACCCATTCGATGCATATGATACAAGTTAAGTGAACTCTTTTTCACGAGTATCCATTACGGTGGGATAACAGCTAATTATCTACTATTATTTCAAAATTCCCCATATCGACAAATGACATAATTCTGACGGATTCGTCAACGCCATGTACAGTATATTCAGATAAGAGATAGACCGGATGTAAACAAAAGGTTCGGGTGATTTTCACGCTAACGCCGCCGTCTCGACGTAAAACAGGAGCCCTTATTGGTCAATTCGCAATTAAATGCCTATGCCGAGCGGCAGAGCAGTCGTATCAAGGCAGAGTCACATTCAGGTTCAGACGTGTTACGTATGTCGTGTGCATCATTGCAATTTGATATTTCTTTGGACGTTTTCGTTTGTTATCTTATTAAGTTGTTGAGTTTGTCGTTGTTATTGTTATACCTTGTTATTGATTGTTATTGTTATCAACTGCTTGCGCAAAATGCCCAGTAGTACAGATACTGCCGATGAAGTTGTAAACTCCTGTAGTCCACCTAGGAAACGCTCTAAAAAAAGACACATGAGTGCAGAAATGAAAGAGGTCATTTTGAATATATATAAGATCGAGCGCGAGGAGAACGAGGCATCAACCATCAAAGAAATTGTTGTGAAGGTTTCTCACAAAGTTGGGGTGTGTCACGCATCAGTGTTTAATGTGTTAAGACAATACAAAAAAAAATGACACCTTTTCTGAGCCAATGACCAGTAAACATCGCAAAAGTATTGTTAAATAATTGGAGGAAGCTGATAAGCATGCGATTAGGAGGAAAGTGCATGAATTCTTCTTTAGGAATGAAATACCTACTATAGATAAAGTACTGCAGGAGGTAAATGGAGATACAACGTTGCCAAATTTCAAACGATCAACTTTCCATGCGTTACTGAAGCATTTAAATTTCAAATGGAAAAAACGGGGTCGTAATAGTTTACTACTGGATAGAGAAGAAATTGTGCTATGGAGGAGGGATTATTTAACAAAAATAGGGAAATATAGAAATCAAAACAGGAAGATTTATTACCTTGATGAAACGTGGGTAAACGCAGGACACACTACAAGTAAAGTATGGGTTGATGATTCTGTAACTTCATCCAGAAGGGCATTTCTAGATGGACTGTCCACCGGATTAAAAAATCCAGCAGGTAAATACGAGTAATAGACAACAATCGGATGTTTTTCAAACCTTGGGAACAAGGTTCTAAACATTAATTCCAGGGGGCAGATAAAACATATTACAAGTAACAAAACTTTTATAACCTTCGATAAAATGCGTGGATGTTTTATTGTCATTTTCATTTGTTAGAACTTTTTTAAGCCATGTTTTTATGTGTTATCGATATTTCAATAATTTTTTAATATACCTAATCTTAAAATATGTCGAATATTATAAACTTAAAAAAAGTTACTAAGTTTTATATTGTGTACCGTTCCTAATATTTCTAATCATTTTAATTCATACTTTAAGCTTTATAAAGTTATAATTTGTTAATATTAATATTTGCGCGTATTTCAGGTTCCTGATCATTCATTTTTTAAAGGTTTATAACTCTAAATTAAATTGTGAAGCGTTGAGTAATCATACGACGTTCAATATTCTTTCTTTCAATATGACTAAATAATCCCAATTATAGCAATCTGATACTCATGTCTCAATGTTTTTTCGCTGAATGTGATGAAAACATTTGAAAAAGGTTCGCTTATTGAAATAAATCTACACCAGTTAGTACTTCGATTTCCAGGTAAAGGGAAAAGGCTCATTATCTGTCATATTGGCAGTGAAGATGGATTTGTTGTTGACGGTCTGTGGTGCTTTGAGTCTAAGAAAACTGGAGATTACCACGAGGAAATGAATGGCGAATCGTTTGAACAGTGGTTTTCAAAAATTTTACCGAACTTAGAGGAAAACGCAGTAATTGTGTTGGATAATGCGCCTTATCATTCTCGAAGAATGGAGAAGGTCCCAACAACGGCTTCAAGGAAAGTTCATGTTCAAAATTGGCTCCACTCGAAAAATATCAACTTTGAAGAAGCAATGCTGAAAGTACAATTATTAAGAATTGTCAAGGATCACAAGGCGGAATATCAAAAATACGCCATTGACGAAATGGCAGCAAGTCAAAATAAAACTGTGCTCCGTTTACCTCCATACCATTGCGAGCTCAATCCCATTGAGCTCATATGGACAGAGGTTAAAAATTATATAGCTAAGCACAATACAACTTTTAAATTTTGTGACCTCAAAGGACTTTTCAAAGAAGCACTAGAATTAATAACAGCGCAAAAATGGAAAAACTGTATTAAGCACGTGAAAGACAAAGTTGAAAAGAGAATGTGGGAACTGGACAATATTTTAGAGGAACAAGTCGAGCCATTCATTATTGACGTTGGTGCTTCAGGCAGTAGCGATGATGAAAGCTCATCAAGCTCATCTTTCCAATAAAAGATGTCGTTCATCAAATTCGGTAAGTTATAAGTAATTATAAAGCTACTGTATTTTTTAATTAATTATTGACATTTTTGAACCCATTTTGGCAAAACCTATTCAAGAATCTACTTTCTGACAATGTTCAACCATGCACATTTTTTTACATTTTGAACGTTTTAATTTGGTTACATATTTACCTAGAAATCAAAAAATATACTAATCAATATTCTAAAAGCAATTTTAAGAGATATACGATTATTTTTAATTTAGGCTAATTTAAACGCCATTTTGAGATTATATTCGACTGTATTTCACCAAACATCAGGCGGCATCCGAAGCTGGAAATCGAAGCGAAAATTTTGAAACCCTTATGTATATTTACATCATTATATATTTCTTACCCCACCCCCACATGATCCTATATCCATCACCAATCGTATACACATCGAATTGGGCTAATTTACTACAAAGTTACGCAAAGCAGCATCTACTATCTAAAATATGTACTGCGTGACTCTTAATACGTCCCTGCCGAATGTTACAGCGTTCGATGATCACGTGGTCTTGTTTATGTCCGGTCTATCTCTTATCTGAATATACTGTAAGCAGAACCTATTTTTGTTGTGGTTCTCTGTACGATAGAGATTCATTTTGTTCTTGCTAATATCTCTTTCATTTAGAAAAGTTCATTTGTTAAAAAAACGCTACAAGCAGGGGTGCATTTGTAAATCACTTGGTAATCTAATACCGGACACAGTAATGAAATGTAGATTGACAGGTGAAATTTTACTCTGGAATACTGTGTAATTTTATTTTTAGAACGCCAAAATTATTATAGTCATATAATGACACTCAATGACGGCCGCCTAACTTCCAACCACGTTTTCTGGGGCCATTTTATTTATTACAAGAAACGCTATAGATGTGTGGCAGCTCACTCATCGTGAAAAATCTATATTCTGCCAATGTTGAGCACTTTTTGATAACCAAATTAATAAAGTAAACAAACAATGAACCATGAAAATGACAGGTGACAACATTCTTATTCCCAAGGTTTTGAACTCGAGAAGAGCAGTGCACTCTTGACGTTCCAGAAAGATTACTTTGTTCTTTGTTCTAATTCCGAACGCATGGAACATGTACGTCAAACAATTTACGAACGAAGCCCAGTTTTTACCAAATCTGCACCCGATTCATTATTACCAACGTTATACAGACCATTACAAAGATGTCACTTGCTGTTCAACTGTTCAACTCAGTAAACGTCAAAACGTGATGGATACTCGTGAAATATTGTTCAAGCGTTTCTTTCTTTCATCTGTTTCTGTCTGCAATTGAACCGCTGTCCAAATACATTTGAGTCAGGTAGATTGTGGTTATTTTCTTGAATCCTTCTGACATTGGAAGTGTGAAACTCTTCAAACGTCCAACTGCAAGGTCGTCACCTACGCCTATGCTTTGTATAAGTGGAGACATGAATAAGTCAGATATCAGATAATTATTTTTATCAGTTACTCACGGATTGCTGAGCAAACCGAAAGCTTATTATTCTATAGGATCATATTGAATATTTTCTAAAAATCCAAGACAATGAACAAAATGTATCATTTTATTGTAACATGAACATATAAATTACAAACGGCGTCCCTTATAGGGTAAATTTAGTGTGCCATGCTTTGTTATCTGTGCATAACCGCAGAAATTTAATAGTTTCTATATATTCTACATAATCTCGTAAAAAAAACATAATAAAATCTCCATAAATCTGAAATTACTTAGGTTATACAGCGCATCTTACACATATGTGCTGACGTAGTTGTATACATTTCCCGCTCCTTCGCCAAACGTCTGTCAAAGCAAGTGTCAATGCTGTTCTGTCAGGATTATTTAATGTCAATAAACATTACATTTTCAGCTTTTTGAGTTGCTTTTCGCATTTTTCTCTTTTGAAGCGTACACATTCGCGCGATCCGCGATGAAAGTTACTGGAAATGCCACGCGGCTGTAAAATTCAACTCGAAAACGTTCAAATAGTGCCGGGATCGCAGGATAGCCATGGAAATGTGATTAGTGAACAAGGGAGCAGACTATTATTGTAAGAATGTCGCAGGGTACTCCATCCAAACTAGCCAAAGGGTCCCCGACGTCGGCTAAGCCAAGGCCGCTTAAAGCAACGCTCCCAATGTCTTCTGTCGTCAAACAGAACAATAGTATCAAGTCTAGTAGGAGTACTGCGGTCTCTCCGACGATCTCATGGAAAAACAGAGCTTTTGGTGATGAACCTTCTGGACAGAGAAGCCCTGGGTCATCAGATTTTAAAGGTCCTTTTCTACTGCTCTAGTATTCAATATGCTTCATTAAACGAAACCGTTCTGTTGGTCAGAATACTGAGGAACAAAGAAGTTTTCTTCTAAATGCAGTTTCATTTTATTAAATTATTTCATTTATTTGTGGTTTTCGCTGAGTTTTAATATTATGTAAAGGGAGATACACATCACTATTTGCCTCAACTCTTGCTTGAGGAAATCAAAATAGATCCCAGTTTTAAGAAAGTATCTACAATGACCATAGTATAATCGTATTTTCCATGCTTTTTGTGATATCATTACAGTAAAGGAAGTGATCTGAGCATGTGATTATCTTAGTGATCTATCATTTTTCCTTAACTAATAGTAGGTCACATATGTTCAACATGAATTAAATAAGTTCAGTACTGGGCTTTGTCATTTAGCACTCCAAAATGCAATACCCATTATTTTTGATGAGTTTTATGGTCTAATAAGATAATAAGTCCTCCTATTGTGAATTTTGAGGAGAATAAATGATTTGGGACTTAGGATCTGCATGGGTAGTAGGTAGGCAATACTCTGAAAAGTTGCAAACTCACATGAGAACAATACCTATTATATTGATATTAGCACTTGTGAGTATCTCCACTAGCAGCAATTTAACTGTTGCCTGGGTGAAATGTCATTGACAATTCAAGGGTAAAATTTCTATTGAATAAATAATGGGCTGTTAAGACCAGAATTCTGGGTCTAAAGCCCCTCTTTATTTGGTCAATTACAGCCACAACAAGCATTAGGGATGCACTGGTACTTGGCTTGTACCTGATACTTGGCATATTCTGCATATTTTACCAAGTACCCAGTTTTGACAAGTATTACAGTGCTCTGCATGGTATTTACTCACAACATACAAATGTGTAAATTAATGAACTACAGATGCAATCTGTGAAGTCCCAGCACATGTGCCCATTTCCACAAATTCCTAAAATGTTTACCAATTAACAACTAGTAAATGTAGACTCTCTTTGTCTTCTCAATAGGCTTGTGTGTCCAGTACTCCATGTTTTTTCATTAGTCCATGGAGTAGTCACTTAACTGTTTAAACTGAAACCTCATTGTAGCCTAGCCTAGACCTTTTTAACTTTCTTATGAAGCTTAAGTGTGGTAATCTTGGCTGACTAAGCTTCAATATAGAATACAAAAATAAGTTGTATAGGACAACGTTTTAGCCTCAGAAGAAGCTTTTTAAGTATCATAGAGTACTTTGTTTTAATGGCAACAATATCCGATTTTGCGATGGAAAAAAGACACATTCAATAACCCTTATCTCATTTTCATGTCCTTTGCTGTGAACAGCTGAACAGCTACTAGTTGGGTTAAAGGTAAAACCTAACTAGTGGCATCTACATCAAACTTTCCAGATTACCTCCCATTATACAAATGTTTTCTGCAGGTAAACAGAAACCTTATGATAGTAATGGTGGGGAATGTAAAGTGATCAGACGGACTGCATCATTAGATACAATTTATTTAAAAGGACAATGGCCACGAGATATTTTTTATTGGAACATTGGCATGTTGCAAATAGACAAAGCTACACAGGTAATTTTGGTATTAATGGAGTAATAAATATATGACTGACTGAACTGGATAGACTATGTTATTCAGATTAAAAGACCTCATACTTCATAGTCAAATAATTGAAAATCACTAGATGTGGTATCTGACATCTTATGTATATGTTTTTTTTTAAACAACTAAATGATATTGAAAAGTTTATCTCCAAAAGGTATTAAAATTTTTAGACTGACGATGCAGATTGGGTAGATTTAAGGAAGATACACAGTATATCAGAACTAGAAGATACTGTAGATAAACTAGACTCGAGGCAGACAATTAAGGGTACCAAAGATAGTGCACGGAGGAGTTCTCCCAGTGAAAATACACTTAGTTCCAGTTCACAAACATACCCATGTAAGTATCAAAATGTCCACCATTCTTAAAGCTCACACAAACATATACTTCATGATAAGGTAAAATATGAAATATTTGTTCTTAGATTTTGAGATAGTGTTGAGCTAGTGTGAAATAAAAAAATTTGGTATACCACTGTTTATTTAATACATTTTTTTGTAATCCTCATTCACTTTTGAGCAAAGTTCATCTTCCCACCATTTTTTTTTCGAGTAAAAGATAAAAAACATTTCTCATAGCTTTAATATGGAAATTGTTATAAGGTGAAAGACATCATAATAGGAACATTAATTTTTATTTTTTTACGCGAAAACCATGAGTCGGAATCGAATTATAAAATAAGTTGTGTTATGAGGAAAAACAGTGGCATACCATATTTTTCTTTAAAACAATTAGGTGCAAGGCCTCACGAATGCCACTGGAAAAATAGTAATTGTTGTATCTTGTGGTATCATGGACATATTTTTTTTAAACTTTCATGCATTCAAAATTTTTCATTTTCATATTATCAATGTGTATTGGCACATGCGCCGTGTCAGTGGATTTCTACATACTGGATCAGGCCAGTTCTCCACTCTAGAACATTACCATGGAACCATTATGTCTTTCATAGTCGAATTTTGATGAACTGATGTGGATGGGCGTTTCTCTGTAAAGTGGTCAATTCGTTGTCTCCTACCATAATAATGTAAAATAGAAGAGATTATTATTTGTTTCATTACTATTTTCGAAACATAATGATCTAGTCCACCTGTCCTTAGTATGAATTATCTGTATAAACTACTGTTAATATTCTAAAAACATTGTTGTAATGCTCAAAAAACAGTCCTCTGGTATGTCACCAAAGCGTTGCAATGGCTTCTGATTCAGGTATTGAAACAAATAAGTTTAGAAATCGACTAATTCAAGTATTAATTGAAACATAATACAGTCAGTGCTTATTTTTTCATTTATCTATTAAAAAAAGTTGGTCACACCATATAGCGATCAGTCCCCTGTGTATATTTCAAATGACGTGGCATAAAGCCTAGAACGCAAAAATATCGTTTTATTGCGTTCAACGAAACGCGAACAGAGTGACGTTGACGCGGTTGCTACCAGAGCGGCCCTGAGGCCATCTTCTTCAGTGCTGCATACGTGTTGCTCCGAGTTACCCGCGTCAGAACCTAAAAGCCTACAGTCCTCTGGTAAGAAATATTTAAATTCCTTTCTGTGTTTTTAAGTCATATTTCACATAATGTACTTTATTCAAATAGATAATTTTCAATTGTATGCATCAAAATAAAACAAATGGATACTGTATTGTGCTACTTATCAATCTAATCTAACTGAACAGTCCCGTGGCAACAGTCCCCTGCATTTAAACAGGACAGGGGATTGTTCTTACTTCCAGAGGACTGTCCTAATGTGTATGCACCATTGTTATAGGCACAAGATATTACTACAAAATGGCACCAAGGAAGAAAACACAGACCAAGGAGGAAATTTTACAAAAGAAAAGGGATGCTGAATGGAAAAAGTACGAGCGCCTCAAGAACGACTCGCAGAGAAGGGAAGAGCTAAGAGAAAAGGGACACCTGAAATACCTTAAAAAGGAAAAAGACAAGGGGACTAGGAAGCTTATTAAAGGTATGACGCCACGAGAACACCGGGAGGCTAAAAAGAAATGGAGAGAGAATTGTTCTGCTTATCGAAATAAGAAGAAAGCGTTGACAAATATAACTTACACTTATCTGCGAGAAAATACACCAGATTCGGAAACATCGCACTCATCCCGACCAACAACACCTCAAGATGTTGATATGTTCAAAAAACGAATTAATAGGGAGAAGAAACTTAGATATCAAATAAAAAAGAAGAAAGATGAAGAGATTAAATTACTAAAAAGAAAATTATTGGAATATAGAAAACGTGTTTAATAAATATTGGCAGAAAAAACAATCACCCCCCCTTTGTGAAGCATTTAGGAATTCCAGAATAGAGATAGATAATTCATCTAAATACCAATCATCCCGGAATTCTCAAGAATTTTTCATTTCCCTTGAGAAACACAACTTAATTTTACCAAACTACATCCCCTCTACCGAAGAAAACTGTCTTAGAGAACTGTTGAATCCTTATTTAGAATACGTTAAAATCTATACTGACGCCTCTAAGGACAGCAAAGGAACAGGTTGTGCCTTTATTGCACAACCCAGTGGACATTCATCAAAACTCAAATTAAACAGTCTGACATCTATATTCACAGCTGAAGCCATTGCTATTCTCAAAGCCTTGGAATACTTAGATTCCAAGGTAATTATCAAAGGGATTATAATATCAGACAGCCTGTCAGTCTTGAAAAGTATAGCTAAGCCAGTCGACATAAATAACCCTTATATTAACCCATACATCTTGAAAATAAAGCACTTCCTTCATAAACTAAATGCCAAAAACTACAAAATAAAGTTGGTATGGGTAAAAGCCCATGTCGGAATTAAGCTCAATGAGAGGGTTGATAGATTGGCTAGGGAAAGCATTACTTCTGGAGAAATATTGGACCACCTTCTTCCCATAGATGAATATATTCATTTGCAAAAAAAAACAAAGGAGAACTGATTGGGAAACAATATGGGAGAAATATAAAAACTCAAGAATAAATAGATATGCATTAATACAACCCGAAATCCTTAGATACACCTGGTTTAGTAAATACAAATACAACAGAAAAACCTTAACGACACTGATAAGGATCAGATTTGGACACGCATGTTACCCAGAGCATCTAAATCGGATTGGCGTACTGGACACTGACCTATGCACAAGATGTAATGAAATTGGAAATCTCGACCACCTATTCTTCGGTTGTCAGAACAATAGGAATCAATCTCTGCGACTAATAAACAGAGTAATAGACTTAAATGTACTGACTCCTTTTAACCTCATACATTTATTATCCCTAAATAGAAAGGAGATCTACGACAGCCTGGCTGAATTTATCCATTCAATCAATGTAAACCTATAATCACCTGACATACCCTTGTTTCCTCCCTATTTGTTATATCCCTCCTCTTACCGTGGTCTACCTGTGCACGTGTAAGAAGTCGCCCTGACCGACCCCTGAGGCGTGAAGAAGTGTCCTCTGTGAAGATCCCTAGCATCATCCCACTATAACAGTAGACGTCCAGTTTGGAAAAACATGAATCCAAAATCAAACCGATGATCCATCATTCATATAATGCTTAGTGACTGGCTGCATGAACACCTAGTTCTAATGCCAAAAAAAAAAGAGAGAGACTGATGAAAAAGGAAAGAAAAATGTGTACAGATACTAACTAGCAGATAGTCCAGAAACTAAGAAAGATCTATTCAAGAAGGCATTGTTTGGTAAGGTGTTAAAAGAACAATTACAAGAAAACTTCTCAAACATAGAAACATTGAAAGAAAAAACGCTTTTGACCAAAGTAGTATTCAGAAAACTAGTGTAAAAATACAAATTATGGCGTATGGAAAACACAAAAGTGATTAATTACAGAAGAATAAAAAAAAGCAAAACTACTCGGAGGACGCGTCGTCGGAAAATTCTATAACCCTTTGGACTTAAAATCAGAGTCAGTGATGAAACATCTAAGCTGCTTTTGTAACAAAGATGGTTGCCTTCACTTTAACATCAGAAAATTAAACTATGAAAATAAAGTTAAACTAACAGTTGCTGAAGAATTCACTGACTCAGAACCTGAAGTCGGACCCAGCTCTTCCGCAGCTAAAGCACTCATCAATGGAGATTACATCCTAGTCGAATTAGTCTCAAAAAATATGCAATATAGATATGTAAGCGTAATAAACAAAATCGATGAAGATCGGGAAATTCGAGTTACATTTTTAAAGCTTTACGATAATAAAGGTCAAACATTTAGAATGGATCCGGACGTTATAGCAGATATTACAATGGATCAAGTGATTGATGATGAAATTACCTAATCCAAACATACTTTCAAAGGGAAAAATAGACTATTTTATACCATTTACCTATTAATGCTTTTCAAAAACCTTAAGTTTTTTTTAAACTAATGACTGACTGTAAAAGACTGATTATGTTACCTTAAGCTTACATAGTTATGCAGCTGTAACAAGAGTATTATAAAAGTATTGATTTTTTTTTGTTTACCGAAGAATTACTATAATTGCTAATATCCAAGATTAGAGAAAATAAAATATTTAATTTTGCTAATATATTGGTATTTTTAATTTTAGTACACAGTCCCCTGCCATAACTGACAGTCCCCTGTGTCAATAATTTAGAAAATGCTTAATATTTCCTAAATTATGACCTATTTTTGGGTTCCCCGTGGTTTGTCATTGAGCTTGAAAGTATACATCTCCTAAGATGTTTCAAACATTTAAGCAAAAAAGTGGGCAAGACAGTTTTTCCAAAGAAGTTGACCAGTTTACAGAGGAAACGCCCGGATATATCATGTTCCTTGTCAGTGTAACATACAACTTTAAATTGAGTCGAGTGGCGATCTTATTAACTATGGTCAGCATCGTGGCGAGATACGCGGCGAGAACGAAGATCCCATGACACTAAACCCTAGAAGATCTGTTAGATTCCCGCTCCCAGGTATAGTGGCATAAATGATGATAAATTTTTTCCCATTTAACCTGTGGGGACGATTCCAGATCTGGGGGACTGAAACATGGTGGGCAATGTGAAAAGGAGAGGGGGTCAGTCAGCCAACCATGCTTTGATATTGTTAGCCCCCCCAAAAAAGTGCTTCTAACATTTGAGCAACGTAGCCGTCTTTGGGAGGTCTCACATTGACCCACCATCTGACCCCTGGGAGCCACAACCCGCCAGCCGCGTCATTTCTTTGATGGGAGTCGGGTCCTCTAACAGATCCACTGAGGTTTTGTGTGGTGGGCTTTCATGGCTGTTGGTACCACCTTAACTGCAGCTTAATCTAAGGTGACCTTATCCAAACGTTCTGTTGCACTGATATTATTTGTAACTTGCAAGTGAAGCTCAAATGTCAAAAATATAAACTGAAGATTTGTTTTGCTCAAGTTGCCTATAACCTGAAAATACAGGCAAATAGATTTGTTTTGATTATCAGTCAAGTTCTGAAGAGGTTTGTCAGGAAATATCATGAAACTTTTAGAAGAAATTAACCTCATTATATGTGGAATTGGCACTGATAATTTTTCATCAGCGACTAGTAATGTTTTAATGTTGTAATATTTACTTAAACACCCCTATTTTCTTTTTGATTATATGTTTATGTTCGGATATAATGTTCAGGAATAAAGATTTTTCTCGTAGGGAAAAATTGAGGACTCTTTTTTGGGCTGAACTCATAATAAAAAACAAATCTACGATCAATAAATATTTCACACCCATCAAATATTAGGAATTCTGCCACGATGATATGACAGTACAAAAGTAGGGTTCACTTGATGCCAGAGCTTATTAGTTCAAAAGTAGAAATCACTAAAAATATAGATGGTTGCTATTGAAGAAAGCCCGTACAAACGGCCATCAGACCAATTTGTTCATGCATTTCAGGCTAAATTTTTTTTTTTAACAAAATTTATCTATTGGTGTTTCAGGGTATGTTCTATCGCCAGTATCCAAATCGCTCCCAGTGACCTTGAAACCCCTCCCGCGCTCCTCGATCCGCAGCAGCGTGGAGGGTCTGAACCAGGAGATCGAGCGAATTGTACTGCGCGACGAATCGGGCAGCACCCTAGTGAGGCCTCCTAGCGGTGGAGGGCACAGCAGCGGACGATGCTCGGAGGGCAGAAGGGCTCCGCTGGCGGAGATGTTTCATGGCGAAGGTTGGCGGTCGGTGGACACGCAAACGCCGGGGGCTGATGAGCGGCAAGGTAGCGGGTCGTCGGGTGAGTTTTAGAATTTTGCATGCATTCTTTGAACAGGTTTTTTGTTCAGTTGTTTTGCTACGGCACGTGTCTTTTTGGAACCAACCATGCATCTGCGGTTCTTAGATATCGTGTTCTGTGCATTTGGTGCGCTCGGCGTCTGTGTCTTGTGTCATGCCCGTCATACGTGTCATACATGACATCATGTCTTTTTTGAATTAACATTTATGAAATTTGAATAAAACCTTCGTCAAGCAAGGTAAGGTTTTTCGAACATTGCTTGAACAAATGGTTAGAAGTAGACAATATAAACGGGATTATAGAAATGGTGATAAAAAAGTGGCAAATGCAATGTCTAATCAACCTTACGTGAGTCAAAAACTATGATAAAAACAATTTATTACTTAAGCTTGTTTGTAAATATCTGTTGAATATCGTGTTTGCCACCTTTTTGCATTCCTCCTATAATCTACGACCTAAAAATAAAAGCTGCGGAGAAAAAAAGGACCATGCCCGTTGCTAGAGTTTATCAAATCTAGCATGGAGAAAGAGAACTTCATTAAATGACTGAAAATTTCTCAAAAGATGAGCAAATGATGTTAGTATCATCGGTCAGTAAAAACAAAAACATAATAACACTTAATGGGTGGGCCATCAGTTGGTTTCTTTTTTAAATTGGTATTAAAACTACACTCTTCAATAATATGTAACACTCGATACTTTATTCAAAAGAATACACCTTCCGATTATTATTTATGAAAAATAATTTCAGTTAAATGGCTACCGTGGCTGGCCTGGTAGTAATCCATCCTTTTAACCCAATTTTGGAGCACATTTTAAATAGTTTGTGGGTCTATTTCATCAATAGCTCTACGGATATTTTCCTCAAGAACATCCATTGTTTGAGGATCGTTAGTGTAACAACGGTCCTTAACAGTACCGCATAGGAAGTAATCCATGTCAAACCATAGCTGCAGGCTGGCCAATGAACGTCTCCAAAATGGCTGATAACAATTTCAGTTAAATGGCTACCGTGGCTCGCCTGGTAGTAATCCATCCTTTTAACCCAATTTTGGAGCACATTTTAAATAGTTTGTGGGTCTATTTCATCAATAGCTCTACGGATATTTTCCTTAAGAACATCAATTGTTTGAGGATCGTTAGTGTGACAACGGTCCTTAACAGTACCGAAAAGGAAGTAATCCATGTCAAACCATAGCTGCAGGCTGGCCAATGAACGTCTCCAAAAGGGCTGAAAACAATTTCAGTTAAATGGCTACCGTGGCTGGCCTGGTAGTAATCCATCCTTTTAACCCAATTTTGGAGCACATTTTAAATAGTTTGTGGGTCTTTTTCATCAATAGCTCTACGGATATTTTCCTTAAGAACATCAATTGTTGGAGGATCGTTAGTGTAACAACGGTCCTTAACAGTACCGCATAGGAAGTAATCCATGTCAAACCATAGCTGCAGGCTGGCCAATGAACGTGTCCAAAATGGCTGATAACAATTTCAGTTAAATGGCTACCGTGGCTGGTCTGGTAGTAATCCATCCTTTTAACCCAATTTTGGAGCACATTTTAAATAGTTTGTGGGTCTATTTCATCAATAGCTCTACGGATATTTTCCTTAAGAACATCAATTGTTTGAGGATCGTTAGTGTAACAACGGTCCTTAACAGTACCGCATAGGAAGTAATCCATGTCAAACCATAGCTGCGGGCTGGCAATGAACGTCTCCAAAACGGCTGATAACGCGATGACCGAACTTAGTGTGTAAAAGATCGATTGTTTCACGGCTGGTTTGGGATGTTACGCTATCCTGCTGGAACCAGAGACTGTGCATGTGCATGTCGTCTAATAGTGGACACAAAAAACTCCTCAACATGTTTCTATAGCGTTCCCCATTTACCGTCATGCTGTCACCATCTTCATCTTGAAAAAAGTAGGGGCCAATAATTCCATCACACCAAAAGCCTCACCAAACAGTTACTCTTTTTGGATGCATTGGTTTTTCTATGACGATATGTCGATTTTCAGAACCCCAAATCCTACAGTTCTGCTTGTTAACGTAGCGTCCCAGATGGAAATGGGCTTCGTCCAAAAAGATGACCAAAATTGACGTTCCCCATTTACCGTCATGCTGTCACCATCTTCACCTTGAAAAAAGTAGGGGCCAATAATTCCATGTGGATTTTCAGAACTAAAATCCTACAGTTCTGCTTGCTAACGTCATTTTGTTTCAACTCTTGCACAAGTTGCACCTTGTAAGGAAATAATCCCAGGTCATTATGCAATATTCTCCTCACAGATGTGCGACTGATGCCTACTTATTGTGCTCTGTGACGAGTTGACATTCTTGCGTTTTCACATACACTCTGGGCAACAGCAGCAATGTTTTCGGCTGTACGTACGGGTCTAACACCCTCATACCTTCGATTATCCACGAGCAGGCCAGTTTCACGAACCTTCAAGAATACTTGTATACCAGTCGCGGACGGAGCTTCATTCCAACCAAATAGTCTTCTCAATTTTCGCCAAGTTTCTGCAACACAGCTCTCACTTTGAAAATAGTTTTTCAATATTTCTCACCTTTGTTCAATATTAAAACGATCCATTGCTCACAGCGGAAGTTTGACACAATATATCTGTCAATGTGTTGAGCATGGAAGTGTTATCAACTATCAAAATAGTACCAACTTAAAAAAAACAACTGGTGGCCCGCCCTTTAGAAGGCAAAAATGTGGCACATTTTCCTGGAAAGAGAAAAGTTCGGTCTCTACAGACCTTTTTGTAAGACAAAATCTTGCAAGGAAATGTAGGTCGTGGAATTCGTCAAAGTGATTCGGCCGATGACGTATTAATTTTGGTCTTCTTGCATCTTCGTCTCTACTATACGCATTCACGTCCATAAACATGTTATCAGCTTTAATTTACATTTATCTATAAATTGATATGAATTTGTGAGTGTTTGAATAAACGCCAAAGTCTGTGTCAACAGACGTAAGCTATTGCTATTTAACTAGTTAACTCATATATGGTCTTCCGCTTAAAGTTGACTAGCCTTTTACTATAAACATGATATTGGATATTGAAAAACGGTTTTCATAGATAGCTATAAGTTAACCTGCGACTAACAAACTGGGCCTTAGAATGACAAAAGATGAGTAATCGACTCCGACCACCATAAGGTTCTGTTTCTTGATGGTTTGCAAAAGTTAGCAAGACTGACTAGATTTTGTGGGGCAATACTTCAAAGTTCGCAAATATCATTCATCTCAATATGGGCAAGGGTGGAACCTTATCAAAACCTCTCTGATAATACTAACAAAAAATGGCGTAGAGTAGGTTGACTCTGAACTTCCCACGCAATGCTGCCATCAGTTTTTAAAGGAATAAGTTTGACACAAGTTAGGCCTTCTGAGAAAAAAGTTGGCCACGAACATGTGTAACAAAAAATTAAAATACCTTCCTCGTCCCCCTGAAAAAATTCCTGCAGGCGCATATGATCATTGCAATTCCGTAAGACGTAAGACGCTAGTCCATCGGGGGACCACGTCGCACATTCATTCTGTCAGACAAGAGCCAAGGTCCTGCGCACTGCTCAAATAACAAACGACTAGACGTCGCACGTTTCGACACGCAACTGTTACTTAGAAATATAAGTTTTACGGGTACGGGGATATCTTTGATATGCCTAATAAGTGCGTAGAATTACTGGAGTTGGGGTCGTATATGTACTCCAACGTCAAGTAATTGAGATATACCCTTCTCCACTCTCTGGAACGCCCAACCCCCATGTTTTAACCTCTACGAAAATTGTGCTGAAAATGATCAGAATCCTCTAAAACTTCAGAAAATGAAGTTTGAGCGATGTTTATTTTTTTCATCTTTGGCCAAAAGATGATTCTAAATTGTGGAGAGCCGCGGGACTGTAAGCGCGTTCAGATATAATTAAGGTAATAAGATAATCGACACCCGAGCCATACAAAGACAATGTAGGCACGTACCTGGGTGTTCCTGTCATCTGGTCTGGAGGAGCTCCTCTGTCTTCACAGCTTCTACTTAGGTTCACCACACTTAGCGGATATATTGTACCCGGTTTAACTAGGATTCTTTTGTCGAGGATTTGAAGACGACCGTTGCCTTTTCCGATCTTTACGATATTGACGTCTCTTAATCTTCTTCTTGTGCGCATGTTTGACTTGTATGCGCACGTGCCAAAGGGTTTGAATTTGTATGACTTTTGAGTTCAAATAAAGTATGTTCTGGAACTTGCGTGAACAAGGTCTGCTGCCACTAGACCGATTTTCAAAAACTACAAAGTTTTTTCGTCCCTGGCATAGTAGTAACCCTATGTAAAAGTTTTGTCAAAATTCCACCGGTAAGTTATCACGGGGTCAAGAAGCTGAGGCTAGACACAGACAGGCCGACGTAAATGATGAGTAAGATGGTCGCACAGTAGGCCATTTGTGTGAAGAATTGAGAAAAGAAAAAACCACTATCAACTTCAAACTCCTGAAATTTTAAGTTATCCATGGAAACAGAAGTTTTCCTATGCTACCTGTACCATGGCAGACTATCAAACTCGAAGATGTGTTATCTGAAACTACATTAAAAGAACTCGAGACGTTCTGTATGTATTTATTATTGTGTATTGAAAATTTTTAAACTTTTGAATGTTGATGTCCTGATGTAATTATTAAAAAAATTCGAAAATGAGATGTTATGTTTTTTAATGTTGTATGACATGCACATCACGAAAAACCATATCACTCATGTCCTTAGGTTTATCTGTCTGCCCGCTAATTAATGGCCCGTCTATAAGTTGAAAAGTTTTCACTATGTAGGTTACTACTATGTCAAGGACGAAAACGCGTTATAGTTTTTGAAAATCGGCCTATTGGCGACGGAGAAAAAGGCCAAACAAAAATTGTCGCAGTCCCTTCCTTGCTTTTTTGGACTGTATGCTGCAAAAGTCAATATCGCCATCTTCGTGCTATTAGTCATAGCAACTATCATGTGCACCCGCAGGAATGTCTCTCAGAGGGAGGGGGAGGGTTATTTAATTTTTCGTTATATATGCTTGTAACTATTTCTCAGAATGGCTAAGTTGTGACGAACATAATTCTCTATGAACTGATAACAGCGTTGCGTGGGAAGTGATTCTTGATACCAGTGGCGGCTCGTGGCAAAATAAAACAGGTGTTCTGCAAATCCGAACTTACCTATTTTTTATATGTCAGTTCGATCCTGCGCTCCTTCTTTGCAGCAAATTTGTCGATCACCTTCCCGTTGAAATTTTCAATGGTCGAAATAAATTCCTTTTCAATGGACAGCATCGACAACGCTGTAAGGCGATCCTGGGTCATAGTATTTCGAAGAAAGGTCTTGATTCTTTTCAATGTTGAGAAATTTCGCTCAGCCTCTGATGTTGACATAGGAGTTGTAACAATAATTTCTAATAGCTTTTTTATTTCTTTTAGTATTTCCTCCAAACTATCTTGTAGCAAAAATTTCAAAAGAGACTGAGTTCCATGTAAATCTCGCCAATCATCCGTGCATGAATAACAGACAACTCTGTCTGTCTGTCTGTCTCAACGAGTTGTTGCTCATTGGGGAATTTCTTTCCCCACAATTCTGTTCAGTACTTCTACGCATTGAGGAGAATTATTAAAAAATCCCGGAATATCTTTGAAATCCCCAAAGAACACCCGAACTTGAGCATTTGCGGAAGCAGCTTGGGACATAATCAGGTTTAACTGATGCGCATAGCAATGCACATAGTGAGCAAATGGATATCTTTGTTTAATTTTTGCCTGTACTCCAGCATAATGTCCGCTCATTACCGCGGCTCCATCATAGCTTTGTGAAATCAGTTTGTTAAGGAAATTTCCTATTAATGGATCCACGACGCTCAAAATATGTCTTGTGAGAGTATCAGCGTCACATTTTTCGGGATTCATATAATTCCAAAAACGTTCTACTGGTTCGCCGTTAAATACGTATCTGAAAATTGTTACCAGTTGGGTTTTCCCCGAAATGTTCGTTGTTTCATCTGCTATTATCGCCAAATACGAGGCTCTGTTAATCTGTTTTATTATTTCTTCATGACAAACTTCAAGAATACAATCCAGTAGATCGTTTTGTATTTCTTTCGAAGTTCCTTTAAATATTGAAGCATTTTTTATGTGTTCGCTTAAGGTTGTATCAAGCTCAGCAGAAAAATTAATCAGTCCACGAAATATTCCCGGGTTGTGGGAGCTCTCGGTTTCGTCGTGGCCCCGTAGCGCCAATTCAAATGCAGTCGATTATTTTTGATAGAACGTACCTGTTTTTTGTAACGGTATCATTATGCTGTTGTATATTTCTCCAATATGCTGAATCTGACTGAGCTCTGATGTTAACAATCCCCAATAAAGCAAATTCCATCAAATTATGAAGATGCAAGTATGCAAGGAAAGCAGAAAAGGGCATTCTTCTTGTTGCACCCACAAATCAAGCCATTTCTGGTTTAAATCTCCCTGCTGAAATGCCGCGTATAGCCCTTGCCCCGACTAGCGTCCTGTGTCTCTATAAATATGTCCGGCAGCGGTCGACCTAACACCTTCAGCTCAATTTTTTCTTCAAATGTGTATTTCCAGAATCGTTTCACGCTGATAAGTCTGTAAACCACATCCATTGTCTTGCACTACCCTTCTACACAGCCACAGTCAGCCAGTGAGTCACTAGTCACTCAACGTAAGACCCAAACTACCTAACAAAACATTTTTCGCATTCAAATTTTAAGCTACGTCACGCGACAAGACCATAATGGCAATACCGCCGAGGACCGAGCACCGACCGACCAATCAGATATCGTACTTCGCATTATATCTGTACGGATCTGTATAACTTGCAGCACATGCTTATGCTTAAATCGAGCATTTGATTTTGTAGAAAGAGACAAAAGCAAGCGCGTGCGGCTTGTGTCGAAGTAGTGCAGAGGCCCTTTTCAAGTGGCCCATGAATAATGTTACGCTGCGGTCGCGACGAAAATGACAAGTGCACAATTGGTCGATTATAATGCTTTCTCAGTACAAAACAGACTCGACGCCGTGTCTTGCGGAGGCAGCGTTGCCGGTATTGTTTTTATTTGTGTGATAACATGGAAAATATATAATGATCAAATTACTACTGCTTTTTTCTGTCAAGACAAAAGTTTGGGCAGTTCTGCAGAACTTAAGGGCCAGCCGCCCCTGCTTGATACCATTTAGTAACTATTTAATTACGTAAAAAATACATGCAATTTTTACATTCCACTAGTCAGCAGTGTTTCCTGTTGGAAATAAAGAATAACTTGCCTGTATCATTTTTGCAGAAGGGAGCGAGACGTCCAGTCCCGACCAAGAAACGAACAGACTCGGCTCCTCTCCTCAAATCAACCGATTCCTCGCCCGGGAACCTCCAGACGGTTGCGAAAAGGTACAATCCAAATCCTTGGATGAAAAAGGGTTGCCGATCGAGTCGATCGTAGCACCGCCTACAGCGTTTAAGTTGCGACCGAGTCTCGGTTCCGCTTTCCAGATCCTTCAACAGGCCAGCCCCAGCAGCCAAGACGTGTCACTAGTGCCCCCCGACTTCGAGAATAACTAGCCCCCCGTTTTATGTGTCGTCGTCGATTGTCGGTATGTCGAGTGGTTGACGCAAGTTTATCTGTGATTTTTAGGGTGTAAGAATAAATTTACATTACGCAGAGCCAGGAAACGATACCTTGTTGGCTCTTGAAAATTTGTCTTGTTAGATGGAACACTCGGTGAGATTATTTTGGGTTCTGGTAAAGTAGAACAAAATATAGATTCAAATATACCCAGGTCTCATAATGGTTGTGCAACCGCAATACACCCGTGGTTCAAACAAATTTGGGCTGCATATCGGTAGATTGTCGTGTTTAATGAGCGGTAATAGGGAAAGCTATAAGTAGATCAACGGTTATAAACAGACAAAATGTCAATTACTGATTAGTTGTTTACATTAATAAACGTCAAAACCATCTAGATGCGACCTCCAGCCACACTAGTGCTCTGCATAGCAGAAGCGAAATTGGGCATTGATGTCATTTGAAAAACCTCGTAAGTTAGCACTTAGTGAAGTATGCCGAGCTTGCTAGATAATATCCGAATGGACCCTTATGAAAATTTTGAACACCTTGATATTCATTGAAAGAATTGGCATATGTCAAACAGGTTGTGCTAAGGAGGGCTGCGTTCGTAAATTGCTACAGAGTGTACTATGTAACAATTTTAGCGTTCGAAATTGTTTGACATATCATTAGTTTGTCACTACATGACTCTGTAATAATCTAGCCGTTCTAAAAATAATTATTACAGTATTCCAGAGTAAATTTCATCTGTCATTCTACATTCCATTATTGTGTACGGTATCACGTTACCAAGTGTCGATAGCGAGCGATATAGTCTAATCATATTAGAGGAAAATACCACTGGTTTGCGAAATAATTGTAAAGTCTGGTTTTATTGCTGCAAGTAGGATGTATTCAAAACATGGACGCATAAAATGGGTGGTACACCAATTTTTGTAGGAAAATTTTTTATTCGACAACAAGGAATGAGAAAACGTGTTTTTTGGGATTCAAACGAAACTGTTGGCTGGAACGAAAAAACTCTTCATATAAGATTTTTAGGTATGAGACCTACAAAATGACACCACACCTAACAAGATCCGACTAATAGCAAAAAAGGGCCGAAAACCGAGGCAAACTGCAGGTTTAGCACTTGCTGGTAATTCGACGATGGCTTCTCGCAGATATTTGAAATTCTCCAAATTCGTAGCATTCGTACTTTTAAATAACCACAACAAAATTGGAGTAGATTGGTCAAGTAGTTTTTTGAGAATTTCCAATTGTTTATCCCAAAACAGTTGTTTTCCGGCCATCACTACTAGTTTATTGAGCAATATACAGAGTTAGTTCGAAGGGCATTTTATAGCAAAATACACTAGATTACCTTACCGATATGAATCGCAAACCATTTCGGAAGATAAATGTTATTTTTATGCAAAAACGGATGTGTTAAGTTTTTTCTTCTAAACAAATTCAAACATTTCGTATTTGTCAGTAATTCACAACAAAAGATGATAGACACATCTGCTTTGTTTTAAAATATGTATAGTAACGTATGTTTTTGGAAGAACGTAGCGCATTTGTTCAATTACTTCCAAATACGAAATGTTTGAATTTGCTTAGAAGAAAAAAACGTAACCTTTGTTTTTCGCATAAAAATAACATTTATCTTTCGGAATGGTTCATGATTCATATCGAACAGGTAAACACGAGTATTTTGCTATTAAATGTTTTTTTGAACGATCCCTGTATATTGCTCAATAAACTAGTAGTGATGGCTCGAAAACAGGTGTTTTGGGATAAACAATTAGAAATTCTCAAAAAACTACTTGACCAATATAGTCCAATTTTGTTGTGGTTATTTTAAAGTAAGAATCCTACGGACTTGAAGAATTTCAAGTAGTTGCGTGAAATTATCGTCGCATTGCCAACAAGTTCCAAAACCTGCATTTTGGCTCGGTTTTCGGCCATAACATTTTTACTATTAGTCGGATCTTTTTACGTGTGGTCTCATAAATACCTAAAAACCTTATTTGAAGAATTTTTTGGTTCCTGACAACACTTTCGATTGAATCCCAAAAAACACGTTTCCTCGTTCTTTGTTGACGAATAAAATGTTTTCCACAAAAATTGGTGTACCCATTTCATGCGTCCATATTTTAAATACCCCCCTTGACCAACTTGCATCAGTAAAACCAGACTTTTCAATTACTTCGGGGAAATTTGCTAGTATGATTAGCCTAGTATTCAGACACTGAGCTAAGCTATACTTCATGCAGTGCTAGTTCTTAGCAACTAGATGCAACTTGAGTGTAACCATTCAGTCAGAATCTTTTGGAGCATTGCTGTTATTCTTTTCTGAAGAAATTGGTTTTTGGTAACTTTTCTCTAATGTTGACCTCTTTCGAGTTATAACCGACTTTTAGTATAAAAAACCCTAAAAATGGCCATTTTCGATAATTAAAAAAATAATTTTAGAGGTTGTCAATTGTCTAAATATCAAAGCCTATGAACTACATTTGAAGTATTGGTTTATTGAGGTATTGCAAGTGGTATGGGATCTGGGCGTTGCTGTTGAATAGTCTCAAGACTTTCGATGGTCAAAATTGTCAATTATATTTTTGTAGGGTCTTTTATGCCGGCATTCTAAATATTTTGAAATAGATGTTAATTCATGTTTCATAAGAACTATGTAGCAAACTGAAAACTGCGAACGCTTTTAATTTTTTCTTTACATGGGTAAACATGTAGCCATCACTGGGATCGAGGACGACTTTATATATTTTTACAATTATTTTTCATAAATATGTTGATCCTACTGTCTCCTTTTTTATACTATTGTAAGAATAAAAATATTTATGGTCTACTATGTGCATCATTTTGCCTTGCTGTTTCATCTACTTCCTAAAGGTCAGAAGGAAATGTCGCGGCCCATTGACAAACTGTAAATAACGGTACTGTAACGAAAACACCGTTCAAAGATTAAATTTAGTTGGCCATTTTACGGATGCTAACTCATTTCATGAAATGGTCAATTCTTGTACAGTGCGTTTCAAGATGAAACGTAATTTATAAAGGAAGAGGAAAAATTGTTCTTTCAAAATGAAACAAGTAGCTATCGCATATACAATTTATTATCCTTAATAACACAACACACACCCACATATGTCCATTCATTCGGTTTTCACTCTGCCATTCAAATTATTAAATCCGCCCAGTCGTTGCACGAAATGCCTGGGTAGACCACTATTGATGAGTTCTTCGCTACGACATCGGTTGAGGTTGGGGTTGTAGTGGAGCACCGCCTCCCAACACATCTCACTTAACTTGGGGACGCACACCCAAGTCGAGTAAATCGCGTTGGTGCGCCGAATGTCGTCGTTCACGCTGCAAGGAAATGGTTTATATAGGATACCTCAATAAGAGCGCCGGATTTGATTTTCAAGAAAAAGACAATTTCATATCGAATTAAGCGAGTATTTATATTTCAAAATGAAGAGGAATAGGTGCGTTTAAAGATGAAATAGGACATCCGGTAAATGGCCACCACGAAACATCTGGCACAGGGTCAGTCGTTTCCTAAAATTCTGGATAACGTTTTCTCACAACTGTGGCTCTATTTCGTCGTTAACGCGCCGTATCTCTTTAAGGCGTTCAACTGTTTGTGGCTTGTTCACATACACGTTTTTCTTCGCATAGCCTCAGAGGAAGAAGCTTTAGGTGCCCAATTTTGATCGCCATACCGAGAGATGACACAGTCCGGAAACTTGGTCAGCAGTAACACCATTGTTTCGCGTGCTGTGTGGCAGGTCGCACCGTCTTGTTGGAAGAACATATCCTCCACACCAATTCGATCCAACTGGGGCCACAAAAACTCGGTTAACATTTCTGCGATACCGCACATCATTAACAGTTACCGTAGTTCCAGCTGCATTTTCGAAGAAATACGGTCCAATAACTCCACAGTGCGCACCAAACGGTAACTCGCGGCGTTTTCAGAACCCCAAATTCGGCAGTTCTGCTTATTGACGTACCCGTTCAGTTGGAAATGTGCCTCATCAGAGAGAATGATTTTCTTCGAGGAATCCGCATCTCTTTGGTGGTGTTCCAGCGTCCAATCAACGAATTTGCGGCGCTGAGCATGGTCCGTTGGCTTGAGTTCTTGCGTCAGTTGAACCTTGTACGCATGTAAACGCAGATCTTTTGTCAAAATTCGTTGCAGAGTGGGTCTGGTAAGGTTCAATTCTGGGCCACGATGCCGAATGGAAGTGCCTGGATTCTCGGCCACACTTTCCCGCGCTGCGACTATATTTTCGAGGGACCGACCAAGACGGCGACGAACAGTGGTCTTCACATTCAGCAACGTGAATTCTGTCTCAAATAATGTGATTAAATGGCGAAGCGTCGACTCATTTGGCAAAAATTGTACGTAATTTGCGAACTGTTTCCCCGTTATTTTCTCCATTTTTCACAATAATCAAACGTTGCTCGTTTAAATATGACGTCTAATCGCGTGGTCTGAACATGACAGTTGTCATCAAGTAAACACCATAGCATTTGTAAAAAAAAGGCGGCTAATTCAAATTCGGCGCTTTTGTTGAGACGCTTTAATACTGTTTATTTTAGTCTTATTACATAGTCAAAGGTGGAACGAGAAAGGATCAAAGTAGATACAAAAAACATTAATAACAGTATCAGGGACGGCATTCTAGAGTCAATTTATAAACCTTCTTTGCTAGTACACGAAACTTACTTAACCTGAAAAAATCGCGTCAGTGACCCTCAAGTGAGCTGTCGCTTCCCAGCTACTATGAAACCGGAAATAACCATTGAGTATCAAGAGACCATGACGTGATGTTGGTGAATGTCACTCTGACAAAAGGTTTCTACATCTTCTCTTCTAGAATCCGCTGTATTAAAGGATGAAACATTAAGTCCCTCACCTGTAGTTTCCCCCGAAGACATAGAGCCTACCCTGCGGCGATACGGCTGTCGCGTGGAAATACATTGGCCTCGGCAGTCGACATGTGTCAAAGCACGTCCACTGGAAAGTGCGCAGGTCCAGTCGCCATAGGTCGTCGAAAATGTTCACGCCGTCATGGCCACCTATGACGAACACCTGGGGCGCGCCGCCATTGTCGTCCACGTTCACCTGCACTGCTCCGTGGCATCTACGTGGCTGGGGGTAACCTGCAAGGAGCATGATGATTTGAAATCTGTTTACTTTTATTTGTAACTCAATTAGACGGTATATGCCTCGAGACAGTAACTAGCTATTTGTATATTAAGAGCGCAAAGTAATTTGCTACTTGAGCAATACATACACTCGACGGGAAGCAGGGTGCTACATTGTTTCGAGAGCGCCACCCCTCTGTGTAGTTCAAATTCACTATGTCTATAGATTTCCTACAATGTCTGCAAATTAAGTAATGAGGCTGGCAACGTAGCGTTCGATCTGGCAACAGTGGAAGCGACGGGCTTGGAGGGGATACAGGGGAACATGTGATCCGCCTTCAGTACACGTTTGAACTCAATCGAGTAATTTGATTGCGCAGCGATTTTTATTTTATGACACAGTTTTTTCTGTTATGTTCTAAAAATGAGTGACATCAATATTGAGCAACGGTGTGCTATCAGGTTTTGCTTCAGACTTGGGCATAGTGCAGCAGAAACTAAACTTCAGCAGGCCTACACAGATAGTGCTTTGTTAAGTGCCCAGGTTTTTCGGTGATTTGTCATTTTCAGAAGGGAAAGAGTCAATTGAAGATGAGCCATGAAGCGGAGGGCTTTCATCTTCAAGGACATTCAGAATGATTGGGAAAGAGTTTTTCAGATTTATTACTAAGTTATTTATATCATTCAAATAATTAGGTATTCAGCTTTCGCAATGAAACCTCGATCAAAAAAAAAAATGAAAGGACCATCAGATATCATGCAAGTAGGGTAATTTTAATACTAGACAGTTGATAGGACAAGGAGAGCTTGTCTTTTGGATTAAAAAATAAAAATATTATAATGATTTTACATACCTTTATTAGAGTCCTTCACAGTCTTTTGTCTCCTCCAAATGAGGTCCTCTACATCGAAGGCAGGAATATACTTGAAGTCGAAGGCTTCGGTGACGGTTCCGCCACCTAACACGTAGATGTTCCGTCCGTCGAAGCCCACTTCGTGTCTATACCGTCCTTTTGGTTCATATTCACCATGTCCATTGCATATGTACACTATTTCCCAGTTCATCGATTTCAAATTTAACCTGAAAAATTGTTTACAAAAATACTACTACTAATATCATAAATGAGGTGTGGATGCTTGTTTCTCAATCATGCCAAAATGGCTGAACGGATCTGGATGAAATTTATATCGGCGTTCTGTACGGACGCATTTCGCTGCTTTGGGAATCCCTAGGTCAACACTGCATGGCATAATGAAGAACAAAATGGGTTTTCATCCTTATAAAATCCAATCAGTCCATGCTTTGAAGGGAAGTGATTACGTATTACGGAAGTCTTGTGCTGAACGGATGTAGAATCTTTTTCCTACGCAGCGCAGACTCGAGAGCGTTGTTTTCAGTGACGAGGCCCATGTTCACTTAAACGGTTATGTCAACAAGCAAAATTGCAGATATTGGGCACCAATGAACATAAAAGAGAAACATCAACAACACCTACGTAGCCCAAAGGTGACTGTTTGGTGCGCCATATCCTGTAGCGGTATTATTGAGCCGTATTTTTTTGAAGATGAAAACGGCCATGCATTGACAGTGAATTGCGAGCATACGAGGACACGATGACACTTTTTTGCTCCTATTGTAAGAACACAACGTCGATTTAACCGAAACACATAGTTTCAACAGGATTAGACCACTGACCGTACTTCCAGAGAATCGATGGACACGGTGAAAGTACTTTTTCCTCAAAAAGTTATATCGAAGTTTGGAGACATTAACTGGCCTCCTAGGTCACCTGATCTCACGTCATGCCATTATTTTTTGTGGGGTTATCTGAAGTCAAAAATATATTCCAGTAATCCACGAACACTGGAGGAGCTTAAAGACAACATTCGACGAGAAATAAACAACATCACTCAGGAACTCTGCAAGAGAGTGTTTCAGAATTTGACCGCACGATTAGAAAAGTGTGTCAGAAGGAATGGCAAACATTTGGACAGAATGATATTTAAGAAATATAACCCGCCGAATTTACGAATATGTTGATAGAAATAAATATTTTCTGTTCATTACGTTTGTATTTTTTTTCTAGAATCAAAAAGTGAACCGTCTCACTGGACACCCTATACAATCTTCCATAAATTTTCCATAATTTTTGAAAGCATGCATAACAAGGCTAACAGGGCTAAGATATTTAAGTTCATAGTTCGTGATAGAATATCAATACCCATAGAGAACGTTTTGAAGTCATAATTGGGGTCTCCGAGAAATTACTACTAAAACTTTTCTTAGAACCTTTTTTCCAAAAAATGCGTGGATGTGAAGTTTTCGAGCTGTCCGAGTATTTCATAAATATAAGCAAATTCCACGTTAACTTCGCCAATAAAACCATGACTATAACCTTCCTCGGGTATTGATTAGTAGGTGTAAAATTTTTCAAGTATTTTCGTATCGAAGTTGAGAGACTGGAGAGACGCTCACATTTATACATTGCTGCATTAAAATTTTGAATAAAAAATATCCATTACCAAAGTAACTACTGAATTGAATATTGCATTTATTTCTCGGAAACGAATGTCCTTCAAACCAATGCAAGACTTATGACCTATACTCTACCTCCATGCGAGTGGAGCCGCGAGCTTAGGCTAGTACTAATAATAAATGTGTGCGAACTGAAAATACTATGTATTCAGCGTTGCGGCGCGATACTAAATCTCTACCACAGTTCTACCACGGCTTCTTACTCTTCCATCCCTCTAGCCACTCAGCATAATATAAACAAAGCAGAAGCATCCAAATAAACTGACTAATATCGTTACTGTTTATCACCTCATCGGAAGTATTGATAACGAAAAGATGAATTTTACAAGGACGGATTAAAATGTAATAAAACAACCTATGTGTAAGGTATCAGCGATTTTATATCTGAAAGTTCTATGTATGTGATTATTTATGGAAGAGGTTCAATTGTCAGTAGATATGCCGCATAGTCCACAATGTGGCTGGTTCGAAAACAACGTTGCTGAAGTCATCACCGTCAAAGAGGGCGGTCCAATTTTTCCATTACTAATAGAGCTCCGCAACACTTATCTTTACATTTTTGATGACCATCTTATTCAAAATCAGCATCCGAAACTATAATCCAGACAATTTGGCGGAAGTTGAAATACAGTATTACAAGGGAAATTGTAAGGGCAAATTATTTGGTAAAACGTATGAAAAGGGTTACTGAACGAGGATATGGGTCGTGTCAGGAAAAAAGCTCGGCGTCTATTTTTTATTTCCAGAAAATAGGATTAGAAATATTTTTTTATTTTTTCCATCAAGTTAGTTTATCGCTAAGCAAATGAACGTTGGCTTCTTTTTGTTAGCCCTTTAGCTACAGATTACAATTTTTGGGCACCAAAATCGGGCAACTAAGTCATTGTAATAAAACCACTAATATATAGATAATTTCAGGTTCTTATTTTTATTGCAGCTTTTATTAGAAAGAGTCGTTTTTTCTAGAAATCTACTCTAGTGGTCAGGGAGCTTCTATGGTTTTCGGCGAGGTGTTGCAGCTTCACGATAACCTAATGAAATTATCTGTGATTTAACCCAAACAATTCCGAATATAATTTGCTAAAAATTTACAAAGCAATGAAATTAAAAGTGTTAATAGATTAATTTTAACTTCCTACATAACTGGCGAGGAAGTATTGTAATCTCGGAAAATTTCGAACAAGAGATATTGTTTTTTGGATGTTATATGACATGCACGTCACAAAAAACCATAGTACTCATTTCAATCGGTCTATCAGCTGATTCTTGGTCCGTCTATGCCTTGAAAAGTACCACTCGGATTTTGATGAAATTTTCACATCAGGTTACTACTATGCCAAGCGCGAAAAAGCTTTTAATCTTTGAAAATGGGTTCAGTGGCGACGACCCTACAGGCAAAAAACAAACAAACAATTGTACAGCAATTTTTTAATGTTAGTTCTCATACACTTCCAACTCCAGTAATTCTATCTGCGATTGAAAATTAAACACCGGGAAGGTGGCCATTGCATGAAATTTTTACACAAGGTTACTACTACGCCATGGAAGAAAAAGCTTTGCAGTCTTTGGAAATTGGTCATGTGGCGGCGGAGCGAAATAGAAATCACTCAAACTTCGTTTTTGACATTTCAGAGGCCCTTGATCATTTTCAGAAAAATTCTGTAGTGGTTAAAACTTGCGGGTTGAAGCGCGTGGGGGAGCATATATATCAGTTTTTATGATTTATGCGCTCCTGTCACCGGAAATTCTACGCACCTATTAGAAATATTTCACACATCATAGATATCGATTCCCCCATACATTTGCCCATTCAAAGAATCGCCAATGGTCGAATATAAATAATAAAATGTATATTACGCTCAGTTCGACAAACAACGGAAGACAAACAGGGATATTTTTTTCATAAGAGGCTTTAATGTTACTATTGAAGATTTTCAAAAATTCCTGGATATCTGCAATTTCGACGAAAACTTTTGCCAGATAAGGAACACCATAATGGACATGACCAAAACTTGGAAAACGTTCCAATGACGGTTTGGTATATTGTCAGAAAATTGACGTTTCTTAGCCTGGCGATTATATTTCTTTGAAGATGAGATTAAAGAAATTGTACACAAAGCACATACAACCTATTATTTTTATAGAAATCTGGTGAAAATGAAATTCTTACCTATGGATATCACATGTGTAAGCCTGGCCCGTAGTACCTCCAATAGTATACAGGTAGTCATTGTAAAAAATTAAAGCTTGTCCGTAAAGAGGTAATGGGTGTTGTCCAGTGGTGTTCACTTCCACCATCAGACCTTCCCTGTCGTTCACTCTACACGTGTAGAGTTGGTTACTGCTCCTGAAGCCGAATGGTGTACCTGTGCCACCATACACCTGGAGGAAAAATATGCATAGGGTTATCCAAAATCTAAGCTTCAATTTTGGACAGAGAAGTTTCAACTCGATCTTCCAATCAACCTCAAGATTTAATTTGTTCATTTTATGGTTGAGTGTGACATTATCTAACTCAAAAAAGCGTTCTTATCCTCGGTAGCTTCCAAACTCTGTTTCCCCTCACATTACTACAGCTATTTCCATACTCGCATTCTCTGGGTGTATTAACGCTACCTTGTGCATACATCGTAAAGTGCCTATTACAAAAACGTTGATAACTATTACAGGAACCTCAGGTTCCACAACTATAACATTAGACACAATAATAATATGTCCATACCATATGGTAGGATCGACAGATCCAGGGATAGGCATTATTATTATTATATTCAAGACTACCACACAGTCATCATACCTAAAGTGGAAAGCTCTTTATAGTATTGATAACTTTCTAGTCAATGACTTCAGTGACATATAATGATTATATTTTTTTCGTTGTTATATATTTTAGTGTGATCTGAACTTGTCTGTATTTTTATCTTTTAAATGTAACTAGTTTGTTTTATTTAGTATTAATGCTGAGTGTGTACTTTTTTGTGCACTGTAAGCTTTTCTTCTTTTTTTTTACGTTTTATTATTATTATTAAATACCATACCATCAGGATATTCTTATGCAACAGCAACGCATTTGACGCCAACTCCATGGGCATGGTATCCCCATTGCTGTATCTGGTCCACTCTGCTGATGCATAGTTGAACTTCCACAGTTCCTGGAACAGGGTCTGGATCCAATAGCCATCCAGGAACCCATTCTCTCTCTCAGCCGCGTCTTCGCCATCATCCCCATGTCGATCATAATCACGAGGCAGGGGATTGTATCCTCCAAAGGAGTAGAAATTGGCAGTGTCAGCAGCTATGCGATGGCCACTGCGAGGAAATGGCACCCTGGACGTGGAGGAAGGCTTGATTCTTTCAAACCTGCAAATAATTAATTGAAATCGCAACTTTTTATAAACTAGTAGTCAATTTTTGACCTCCATCTTCTCAACCACTTCGGGGAGGAGGGAGGTGGTGATGTTGGTGGGCGATTAAAAATTGACGAGCGGAGCGGCAGTGTCCCTACCCGTGTACTCATATGGTGTACCATAAATGTGATTTAAACAATAAATCCAATTTGAGAGGAAATTTTTTATTGTTAACAAAATTGAATTCTTCTTTTTTGTCTTCTTGTGGCTTCTTCTGCCGTGGAGGCTCGCAACCACGTCTTGAGCCTCCTGAGCATAGAAAAGCACCTCTTTGCTGTTAGTACACTAACTGGTAATCTAGCAAGGATACATAAGAGCTGTTTGATGTTGGGATGCATTATGGCATTGCAATTTTCAATAAGCGGTTGGTACTCGTTTGCGAGTTGCTTAACGGTTTCTAGATTTACACTAGTATAACCGACTCCACTGAGTAGTATGTAGTATGATATAGGATATCAGAGGGTGGTACCTCCAATGCGAGGTAAGATAGTAGTGTATCTCAAAAAAAAATCAGTCTATCAATTATTATTAGTATAATTAATAGCAGTTCGATGATAAAGAAAAAAATCACTTTTGTTTAAAACATTTCGTAAAAAAACAAACAAAAAAAACAATTTAGTGCCTGTTGCACCAATACTGTTTAATGTTAGTTTAGACGGAAACCTAGTTTAATTTGAGGATATTTATTTATTATCAACATAAGCGATAAAGTTTTCAATTTAAAGGTTGTTTAATTCATTTTTAATCTTAAAAAATGGATTTTGTTGGCCATTGGATATCCTATAAGATGATATCTATATCTGTAAGCTAATAAATAGTGGTTTTCTAGAAGAATTATTCAAATGCCATAAACAAAAGCTGTTTCCAAGACATATTTTAGGAAATTTATTTTGTAGAAAAACTATACTGAATATTCTGCCAAAAGTTGAGCCTGAACTGGAATTCCTTAATGATTTGTAAGTGAGAAAACATATGAACATAGTTATAGTTTCGGTTGCAGATTTGGCGGATTTTCTGGTGAAATCGAAACTAAACCAAAACTCTGATTCTGAACCGAAACTGGTTGACAATGAAAGATCGGTCAGATACTACATGGTATTACTATAAAAGAGAGTATGCTGTTTTCAGAATGAACCATGATGCTGTACAAGTATTTAGTCTCTCAAAAGCATGATTATAAATTTGTCATATCAAATTTATAAGTTAAATCAAAGGTTTGTCAATAGTATCATTGATTGATTAACTTTGTCCAAGTCAATAGTTTATCACTTTTAAAAATAAAAGTGTAACACTATTGACTGTTACAAAAAATCTATGATTTGAAAAAATGCATGACTGCTGCTTTGTTGATAAATCCAAAATGAGATATATAATATACGAGTAGTAATTCCAAAATGAAGTTATAAATATTCAGAGAGAATAATAATAAAAATTCAAATGTGGCACTGATACTTCAGAGTTGGAATGATGCTCTCATGGTATAAGAAAAATAAAATGTATTCAAGGCAAATGTCACACAATCAGTATTTACTGTGATTCACCAGTATTCACCACAGTGTGTGATACCTATTGCCCATGTAGCCAGTTATTATTTATGTATAAAGTTATATAGAATTCCACTGACATGGAGCATACAAACAGTAAACAAAGATGATTGGACCACAGTAAATATTAATTGTGTGACATTGACCTCAGGATTGGCATAATCTTATGATAACATTTTTTCAGCTCTAGTGAACATGTCATGGAGTTATGACACAGAGCAATACAAGAAAGAAATAAGTTTCTGTGTTACTTAAAGAAGGCGACAATAAGACATTTCTTCTTGCTTTATAATAAATCACATACTATAATGTTGCCATATTGCCAATTAAATGATATACCAGAAACAATGTCAACTTTACAAAGATCATGATATAAAAAAGATCTTCATGAAAGTCTTCATGATGTATGCTTAGACCTTAGAGCAACTAATTACTTCAATCAGAATACTGGATACAGTACTTCCTAATGGAACTATAACTAGTGTATTGCTCATAATATTATGATTTGAAATGGTATACTATATAAAGTTCAAATCAATAGTTGTTGTGCAACAAATCAAAGAACGCTGATAAACACCAAACTTATAGCTGAACTTGCCATTAAATACAATTTTATTTTATGTATATACATGTTAGTATTCGTAAAGATAGTAAGAGCAATATTTATGACTGAAATCAACAATTTTGATCTGTTTTTCAGATACCTTTTCAATTGTTTTTGAGAAAACTGTCCAAGTGTGTTTTTATTTCCTCAAAAAAGTTATGTTACAGTGTAGAGTATCTTTTCCAAATTTTAAAAACTAATGAATACAATCTAAAGATTTAATAAAGCTGCATTTCTTCCAATGGTTCTCATACAATTTTAATTGCAGTTATTCTGCCAAATGTTGATGAAGACATAAGGTAGTATGGTACCTAATTGCCCCATAGGCATACAGATGAAGCTCCTGTTACTACCAAACATTTTGAATTTAAGTACTTACAGGTAACAAGTACTTTTATCTTTATTAAATCTACAGGTAGACAGGTCTTAATTCATTTTCAGAACAATTATTATATTGTTTGGATTCCAAAATTACCAAATTTGTGATCTCTAGACTGCATGAAAATCGTTCAAATCTAATGTTTTCCATGAAATTTTCCTGATTCTAGTCAATGCAATGCACAATGCTGAACAGTTTATCTCCAGTTTCATACACATCTTATAGATGTGATGGTAGTACCTGAATGCCCGAAAGGCGTAAACTCCGGGTCCCCCGTCGGGGCCACTGCTGCACATTCTTGCCGCGATTGCGTACAGAATGTGGATGAGTTTCCTCAAAAAGACACCAACTCCTGCAGAATACATGCATCGTCCTGGCTGGGCACCACCACACGATTCACCAACTTCGCAATGAACATTTCGCCGCTGAACGCTCCCAGATTCGTTTTGCAGTTACACAATAATTTCACTGAAGGTTAGATTTGTTTCACAACCGATTTAATGCAGTCTTGTAAAGAGCAATTTCAACTTCATTCGGTCGAAGGTTGTCGAGTATTTTGACACCGGCATTTGTTCACCGTGAATGTAGAACAGCTAGGAGGGATTGAGGTGGATAATAAATCGTCAGATTATTACAACATCCTCTAGTAGTCTAGTAGAAAGTAAAGCACTTTGTTGGTCCCTCTTCACTTTTATTTTCAATACACTCTGACAATCACATGCTTATATGATCAAATGCACAACAAATCGTTTTCAAGAATTCTATTTTATTTGGATATGAATATGAATCCTTAAAATATTCAAATAGAATACAAAATTATCAGTCTCTATTTATTTTCGTGTCAGTTAGCTGTCAGGCACAAAACATATACGAGCACACTGAAGAAGGTTTAATTCCATGCTATTCAATGGTGACACGGTGGCTTATGTCAGCGGTCAGCGGCCATTTTTTGAGGGTGCCACACGGTTGCCAGATCGTGCTTTAATAGCCCGCCACGTTACCAGCTCTACATATAAATCTGAGATTGCTGTAGTTTAGTGGGATATGGTAGATCTTATAACAGCATGTGTTGTTAACATTTTGCACTATCTTGATGAATAAGTGCTTTTTTGTATATTGAAATAGCAACGGCAATAACACAAGCTGTTATAAGATCACTCATATCTACTTACTAATCTGGAAAGGTTCAGAAGAGAAGCATATACTGCAAATATATATTTATTATAAAAATCTCATACATTTTTCTAGAAACAAATCAGTATTAATATTATTATGGTCCAGATGTTTTCATTCCCCAGCCTTTGTTGGCTCCTGCATAAGTCAAAAATTAGGAAAAAATTGAACTGTGTTGATATGTTACTACAATTCAGATTTCTTTTTATTAGAAGAATAGTATTATTGTCCATGGATACTGACAGGATTTTTTCTCAGTGGTGCTGATCATCAAGACATAACTTTTTGTGAAATTGTACTTGCCCACAAAATTTTTTGATGAGCAGATCAGCACAAAACCATGCTAAATATGCAAATTTTAAAGTCAAAGTGGATTCACAGAAGAGACCGTGGCCCATCTGAAACTCCCCTGTGGGAACCCATGTTATTGTTCAATAGCATATGGCTTTGATTTTGAAATTATAGTAAGCTTTGCATATCAACCCTGCTACTCTAAGAATAGATGATTTAAAATGAAATATGGAAACTATTTTGTACAAAAAGTAGTATAAATCATCACTGGTTATCGAGTCATATAAAAACTTACAAATATTATGGTCTGCAAATATCCTTCAGAGCTGTGCCTGCTGGTTAGATCACAAGTAATCTCCGAACTTCTGATAATTCTCAGGAACTCAGGGGTTGACACCGGCGGCTGAACTTTCCGTAGTGCTCCACTGTTCAAAAAGTTTTGTGGAGATCCAACAGGTATGATCTTCAAATATTACACTCCTCAAATGAGTAACCGTTGCATCCCTGATCTTCCTCAGCATCTTGCAGAAGCCTGGCTACCTACTGGGATCACCTTAAAAAAGGAAGATTTGATATGGAGTTTGTCTTATAGTATTTACAAATATATTACAGCTTTGGGTACTTACATTTTTATACTTCGCAACTCTGAACAAAAGGCATATGTCTCAAATAACATAATAGGGACTTTATTCAATCAAAAAGAAATGTTTATGTTAGACGTTAGAAAAAACGAAAATGGCCTGCGGAAAAAGTAAGGTTATTTTTGCAAAGCACAACTACAGGAAGAAACCCGCCGGAGATTTGAATCTGACCAATCAGACAATGTCAGTTGTGAATAAGCCGCCATTTTTTGAGAATGCAACATGGTTTCCATATTGTGCACCCGCAGCACTGCTTTGTTTCCCAATCACTCATATGTCTCAAATAACATAATAGGGACTTTATTCAATCAAACTGAAATGTTTATGTTAGATGTTAAAAAAACGAAAATGGCTTGCGGAAAAAGTAAGGTTATTTTTGGAAAGCACAGCTACAGGAAGAAACCCGCCGGAGATTTGAATCTCACCAATCAATGTCAGTTGTGAATAAGCCGCGATTTTTTGAGAATGCAACATGGTTGCCATATAGTGCACTCGCAGCACTGCTTTGTTTCCCATTGGCTCATATGGGTTTCACCCCCTGCTGTCAGGCATTTCAGGCACAAAACATATATACACTGCGCTGTCAGGATCAGGCTTCAGTATTTTGTGCTAAGGTCAAACAGACATAGAACATGGGGAGTCAACTCATATGGGAGAATGGGAAACAGTGTGGTGCTGCCGAACACAACCTGGCAACACTGTTGGCATCCAGAAGATTTTCTCGTGAGATCCCGTTGTGAACAGGAACGGGAACAGATGGAATTTTCCCTTTCTCACGAAGTTTTGACAGTTTCCAGTTACACCGGGAGTAGTTAGACGGCGCATGTTGCGCAAAATGTTGGCCACGCAAGACAAGTATTGAAATATACTCTACTAGCCTCTAGAAGACTATCCGTAATGAAATTTTTGTCAAAATCGTTGTAGACCGGTTAAAAAATTCAAATAAAGATTGGAAAACTTGCACTTTGACGTACAATATGACTCCGTCGTTACCCCGGGATAGACATATGTTTTAGTAATTTATCTGTCATTCTTGTCAAATAAATTGCTGCATTGCCAGCTCATCGGACAATTTTACTATAGTTTGGCAAACGGATCTGCAACATCGGGGTATCGGTGAGGGGAAAGCAAAACATGGCTGGTTTCATTCATAAAATGCCAGCGGCGTGCGGTATTTTATAAAAGTTTGGGATTATTTCATAATTGGTTTAAATTTAGTAAACTATACGTTTATGTTTCACTTTAAATTTGGGAAGTATCTCAATAAGCCGACAATGATATGGAGCATTGTCCATAATAATAAATAAAGTCTCGGGTAAACTCAAAAATAGCTGTTTTCTACAGTCTACACCATGTAAAAAAACACGAGTTTGTTTCTACACTTCAACAAACGGAAAAATGTCTACTCACTTCCCAAAATTGCCACAATTAAAAAAATCATGATAACTGCGCGATTTAAAACCTAATTTGAAAATCAAGCTAGCGTTTTTGTCAAAGCCGTAAATAAAATATATTTTTCAAATACAAATAGATACTTAACGTGGTTTTTTAACTTGAGAATATATATATACATATATATATATATATATATATATATTATACATCCGTGATCTTATAATATGCTCATTTACTTTAAAAAGTGCCACAAGCCGAAACATGTCCAGAATTAATTTTTCTTTTTTAATCCGCATCTTTCTGGATTCCTATTGTTGCAATTTTGGACTGTTGATGTGGATATTTCTAGAGCATCGCTGTCGCTTAAATAGAAACAAAGAACTTTAAACATATTTCATATCCGTTTAACTTAGAACCTCTGTAATGAATAATACTTACATTATACAGCATTTCAAAATTACATTTCACCTATTGAATTACCATTGGTGTTCGTCAACTTCATCATTATCATCATCGTCACTGTCGTCATCAGTTTCGCTGTCGTCATCTTGTCCTATAGTTATTATAACTGGTTCCATTTCCTCCATAAATTGATCATTTTCCCAAAATTTATCTTCAATGTCCCTAACATGTTGACAAAATTTCTGCCAATCATTAATGGATATTAAGGACATCGCTTCCTGAGTAACTTCTTTCAGTGCGGTTAAACTGAAGTTTCCAGTGGTATTGCGGCTTCTTATATGAAATTTAAGCTTTGCCCAAGCTAATTCTATTGGGTTTCGCTCGCATAAATAAGGAGGTGTTCTTAGAGGAGTATGTCCATGTGATCTTATGATCCGATCAACTACATATTTTTTTTGGTTGTCAGGGGGCTTACGAAGTAAGACCAGATCGAACAAGTCAAATTTTCTGGCAGTTACCTCATGATTTATGCCTATAAAATATTTTATTGTATAGTTTGATATGTACATGCATGTTTTGAGTAATAAGTACCTTCCATTGTCAACCAGGCCATTATATCTTTTTTCGAAGATGATTTTGTCGGGGTTTTATCTTCCTGGACGGAATGATATGGGGCATTGTCAAATACTATAACCGAATTGGCAGGTATATCCGGGAGAAGTTTTTCGGTGAGCCAGCGTGAGAAATTTTCCCGATTCATCTGACCGTGGTAATCGCCTGTAGCTAATCCCGCCTTAAATATCAAACAGGCATTGTCAACAAATCGATTTTCTGAACCTGCATGCACTATAATGAGTCGACCTAAAATATACAAGACGATTATATAATATGTTACAAATCAGAGTTAAATTTAAGATATATATAGCATTTTTGCTTACCTGTAGAACCTATACTGCTTATTACACCAGAAACAGTTTCGCTCTGCCAGCATTTTTTGAAAGTCAAGTCATTTTCCACCCAGGTTTCGTCCAAATAAACAATATTGTGCCCTTCTTCACGATATCTACGTATCTCACGGATGTATTTGTACCTCCATTGCAATATATTAGGCCTCTCTATCAAGACTTTTCTTACATTTTGTCATTTGCGCCAAAAAAAAAAACATTTGATTTTAATAAACTCCTGAGTGTTTCCCTAGAATAGGGGAAATTTGAGTCTTCTCTCAACTTTTGTAATAACTTCCTAGTTGTCGGGATAACTGTATATTCAAGATAAAATCTGTTTATCAAATGTCTAGTAATCTGAAAATCAAAATCTTCATCTTTCTCAACAAGAGACTGACCCGGTCTTTTTTTCCCGGGACTGGATAACATTTTATTGTCTTCTAGTCTTTCTTTATCTTCGTTATGAATTTTCCTAACAGAAGATACTCCGAATCCGGTATAAAGGGACACCCTATCAAGCTTACGTTTAAGCAGCAACTTGAGGGAATTGTTTGCCGCTTCCTCATCGCAAACCCTATAAATAATCATCAGAATGTTAGCTTAGCATTTCCTTGTTTTTTATTTATATTCAGACTCAGTCGTCAAAAACTACAATCATTGCATATTATTATTAAAAACCTATAAACATTCGCAATCACTTCTCTTGTTTGGCTATGAAGCGTCTTTCCGCGAGTAAATTGGTTCATTTTAAAAAAATAATACTAAAACGAATAACAATAACAAATAATAAAACACTAAACTATTCAAAAACACACAGCACTAAAGATACAAACTTAATAGAACAATAAATAGTTACAATAATAGTTGTAAAACTCATACACGATCAACGGAGATAAAACCTACGCCACTGGACTTTTCAATAGTATGGATATTCTAAGAAAGGAGCAAAAAATTGTCTGGGACGCTACCCAATAGGGAGTCGAATTTTCTCATGGCGACAAAACATGTGAGGATATCCGCCAATCAGATTCGTTCAGGCGGTGTCCAATATACCTTTCGGGTGGTTGTTGCCAGCTCAACCGATGTCGATAAGATCTTTGGAAAAATGTTTACTTATAATACGATTCAGTAGTAAAAAAATAGTTATTAAATACAAATAGAGCTAACAACCCATTAAAATACTCAGTATTTTGAATTATTATTTTTTGGAATTGTGAAAAATCGATTTTCAAATCATTGAAATTACTTCATTACTGCTTTTTTGTAGTTAAATTTGGCAATATCGAATATTTTCGGTCGCATTCCTTTCGCTGTTGCAGATCCGTTTGCCAAACTTTACCTCTACTATTTTGCTAGAATGATATATAAAAAAGAAGCTTAGAATCACATTGAGGGATACCAATGGAGATATATAAAATTTGAGACGTAGCAATGTTCGACAGAAAACCAAAAAAAATTTGTTGTTTACATTTTGCGTCGCCTGGCGTCTAGTATGTGGCGGAGCGTTAATGTCCCTGAACACTTTTATAAATGCCCAGTTTCATAGGATAAAATAGTTTTTGAATACGGGAAGGGACTTGTTCCAACTATTGGAAAACGAAAACATTTTTTTATTATGTAAATATATTTATCAAGTATTTGATCTAAAGTTCCATGATCATTAACATCGTCAGATCAATATTAGTCAATGAATCACTTCCAAAGCGACTCAGTTTCACTACATAAGCTGACTAGCACTGTTTAAAAACAGTATTACAAAATTTAGCTTAGTGGCGTTTTCTGCTGTCCCAGGAGGCCATAATTACTTGTTATCA